AATTTTTGTTCAGCTTCGAATTCTCTGTGCATTTTCTAATTATTGAATTTGAGTTAAAATCTACCGTCAAATTTGTTTTGGAAAAATAACGAATTAAATCCATTTATTCGTTGTGAAAGAAGTAAAGACTATTCAGTTAGGAGAATTTTCTTATTTCAGCAGCGTTATTATGGGAATCTGGATGATCATCATTGTAAATAGCTTCTTGAGTGAAAATCCTATTTTCATATTTCACTTGTACAAGGTCGAACAAAAGCACCGCTGATGAATGTCATACTAGGACTGTTAGGTACTTTAGATCCACAGAACTCGCTTGATAAATGCCTTAATTTTGGATTTCATATTTGAGGGCATTGGTTCATCAGCTGACCTTGAGATTTCACTTCCCATCAGGAAAATCCTTGGCTGTGATTGGCTGACGTGCATTGTAGTGTGCTTTTTTTGTGACTGTCCCAATGACGCTTCTATGATGTATAAATAAGCGAGATTTGTGTGATTGAATGCATTGTGCCTGCTGAGTGTTTGTAGAATATAATTTCTACGCTATATCAAGACATTTCGAGTCAACGGATCAAGGTGGCATTCCTGGACGCTGGTTGATTGTCTTGTTCGCGTTTACCGACTAATTTAAACCCATAATAGTTTCAAGCATACTTAGTGACGAACCTAACAAGGTTGACACGACAATGCAATGCGTCCAGGTTTCTAATGAGGGCCTAGCACTGATTGATCCACAATTTCAATGAACCTCAATAATCTTCACGACTCTATAATGACAGTTAATTTATTTTTCCTCATGAAGTAACGGTTACATTAGTCTGTAGAAAAATAGAAGTGTACCGATTATTCAAATAACACAATTCGGTTTTAAACTGGAGATCAATAGATAAATATAATAAAATGCAAAATAACCTACACTGAGCATTGGACACATATGAACAAGCCTCGAATCATGCAACGTTGAACTATAATTCTTTAAAAAAGACTGTAAGAGAGTAATGATAAATCATTACCATGTTAGAAAACATATTGATTCAGCTCTACTGCCACGACATTAAATGATTCAATAAATCTATTAATTTGTAATGACAAGTACCGGACTGAACTGATCATTTACTTTGGATCATTGTTGGACAATTAACTGTATGAAACTCACCGCTTTTAGATGAAATTCCTTGAATGTGGATAAGTGTTTAACATTGTCAACATGAGAATAGTGTGTAGCCTCCTTTGAAATTACTGTTTATATGAGAGAATAGTCAACAGCATACGGAGTGCCTACGATGAACTACACTTCAGAATCATTCATGGAGGGCAGTTCATAGAATCATTCTAAGTGAAGACTGGTGTCAAACAAAGCTGCTTACTTTCATTCTTTCTCCTTTTTCTATTGCTTGACTGGATTTTGAGGACCTCAAAATCTTAGGAGAAGCAAGGGCTCCCGTAGGCAACTCCTAAGCAGCTGGAAGATTTGAACTTGATCAATCACCCGCCTCTTTTATTCCATACACATCAGCGAATGCAGGTGAAGATGATCGGTGTAGCAGCATCCTCTTCAGATTGAAACGTCTACATAGTTGAATAGTATTATTAAGATGGACCTAAAAGAAACATGAATGCACAGATTGACAAGGCATGGGCAGCATTTCTGAAACTGATGAACATCTGGAACGAAAATCAATTGTCAACCAACATCAAAGTCAGAATTTTCACTAAAAATTTCAAAATAATACTACTATATTGAGTGGAAACTTGGAAAACTATCGACAGTATCATCAGAAAGTCTTCTAAAGATACTGCAGATCCGTTAGCCAGACAAGATCTGCAATAATCTATTGTGCAGGAGAACAAACCATATTCCAGATGACGAAAAAATTTGGAAAATGCGGTGGTAATGGATAGGACATACATTGTGAACATCACACAACTACATCACGAGTCCAACCATAACTTGGAACCCTTAAAGCCATAGGGAAACCGGTAAATCAAGGAGCGCACTGTGTCAAGAATAGTATTCAAACATGTAAAGAATGAACACTACTATGGAAAAATTAGTTAGTAGAGCTTAAGACAGAGTTTATTAGAGAGTTGTAATCAACATTTATTACTTCATGATGCGTAACAGACATACGTAATTAAGTAAGTACTGTGACAAAACAACCATCCATCTCAACATAAACGAATATCACAAAAATATAGTCTGAATGATTAAGAAACACACTGATAGTTAGATAGTTTACACATTTCGCTATTCTGTTTTTTTTTCAACTGTGAAAGACAATGAAGCTATGACGATGACAGAAATTAGAAAATAACAATTTCAAACCAAAATTAAATACTAAGAACATATTTAAACATAAATCATATTTTTAGAAAGAATTATACCAGGTCAAAACCAAAAGAAACCATTCAAATACGTGTGAAACCTTGATTATTTTTCTCTATTGTTAACCAATACCCCTATTTTCTTTATAGTCATATATATATATATATATATATATATATATATATATATATATGATTGATGTTTGATAATAGTGACAGTGATGGTGAGTTGATTATAACTTGTACTACTGATATGATGTAATGATCCGATTTTTCATATATGTATATGTGTTTTTGTAACATGATTTTGAACCGGTTACATGTTGTATTGATTAGATTAGGTGATTTGTTTGAATGTTTAGACTATTTTTTTCTCTTATCATCTAAAAATATTCAACAACAAGTTATCTTTTCCTATTTTTGTTTTAATACACTGATTATGTTCAATAATCATCTGGAAATATTTAAGGGTTAGATAATAAAAAGTTTACAACCTAGCCGCTTTATACGATATAAACAAAAATGTTTAATCTGAGATATCGTGATCGTCGGTAATATGTAGTTTGAAAAAAGTTATCCTCTTTTTGTTTGTTTTACTACATCAATTACATATGTTAATCGCATAATCTGTTGAGGCGCCCATACAAAATATGTTATCAGCTATCGCATCACAAGGTAGAAAACAGTACAATCTAAGTGACGTCATAGTAGCTGACAATCTGCTAAGCAAAGAATAAATGTTAATCAGTTATCAACTGCTGAACTGCATACTCTTAACTACCAATCACAAATTGTTTTGTAAAGGAAATTTTTGTTAAAATATGGTTTTGTGTTGAGAATCACTTATTCTACTAACCATTGAATATTGAATAAACCTGTTATTGTTATATTTTTTGATTATTGAACTGCTAACTTTTAAATACTAACAATTAATTATTAAAAATGAACTATTCATTATGGAGCTTCTTGCTCTGAGTTGGATTTTTTCGTCTCTATGTGTAAACATGGAGAAATTTGAATACTTCACTTTGTCTACCTAAAGTTTTTGTACTAAAGAACATTGAACGCTTCACTATCGAAATATCCAGCTGAGAGAACAACAACAATCACTCCACCATAAACACTCACTTAAATTACAAATTTTTTCCAACAACAAAAACTCGAAACGAAAACTATTTATCGATTTCTACTCTATCCGCAGTTGACTGAAAATAGCAATTTGAAAAAAATAAAATTTAACACAATAGGATTATTGTAGTGAATAAGATAATCGAGAGTAGATTAAGCTGAACGAATATCTTTTATATTATATATATATTGAAAACTTCTTTCTCTTTTTATTGTTTGTTCTGTCACGTAATCTGCAATAAAACTGACTAATCAATAATATCAAGTTTGAAATACATAATTATACATGAATCATAGTGTTAGGGCACCAATGTGTATTGTTTTTTCAACGGTAAAATTTAATAACAATGATCAATAATTAATTCTCTTTCACAAGACTAAAAATGTTTATATGATGTAATCACATTACGAGAATTCTAATTGAATAATTGTCGCCATTTTTAATTTGGAATGATGCAATGTGGTTTTGAATATTGTTAATGTAACTGGTTACATTTGAATGAAATATAAATAGGTGGTTGATATCATTTTCTATCTGATCTGAAGATGTTGTCCGAAGTAGCTGACTAAGTATAATTTTATGTATTTACGTTTATACTTACATTAACAATGACTTCGAACTACAACATCACATCTGGATTATCTGTTTTCGTTGATCAATTCACTGAACTTGCTGTCATTGGTTTCAATGGTTCCCTTTCAATTAATTATATGTGGTGATTTTGATTCATGCTAGTGTAGACTTTTTTGATTAGTATGAAACGGATAAAGAAACCAAGACCAGATGAAATCTACATTTATTTAGAGACACTGTTAATCTATAAAATATCTTCACATAATATTCAATTATTCACTTATAATACAGTCAGGCTTTTGACTATATTGTTTCATATCTCTTCTGATTTTCAATACACTCTGATTGCAATATGCATTTTGACGTGCAGAAATTTCTCTATTTGCGCGCAGCTTCTAGATGATTCTCCACTGCATACTAATTATATACCAGCTTGTGAGTTAGTATCCATCACAACTAGATCACCGAAATCTGAACCACTGTCCTACTCAATCAGATACGTATTAAGAGTTCGTTCTGATTAACAATATGGGAATATTTGCAAGTCATAATCGTTGCATAATTCATGTTTCTACTCAAATTATGCGGCGAATCTGGAATAAGTGCACTGTTGCATAAACTAAATTACTCAGATGAAAATATTCATCATCAGAAAAAATTGTTTCATTTCGCAAATAAGGATTTATTTACCGTTTTTTTTATCGAGTTACTGTTCTACGAGATGAGGTCGCTAACCCCATGCCAAACCCTCCTTCTTTATCAGGGCTTGGGATTGACAGTTACCCTAGAAGAGCTTCAGGCGGAGTTAAGCATATACTCTAATCATCATGATAATTTGGCGTTAAATAATAAAATACATCAGTTCATCATTTTCCAAATTCATTATGTATACTTATTCATTTTACATGAAATATTATGTCAGTTGGTTTATATTACTGAACATATTAATGAACATGATTATTTCATTTTTTAGATTATTTTCACATAAAACAAAAATGAATGAACGAAGCACTGATAAATTACAAACTGATCAAGCAACTGAAGATGGATCAAAAGATGATGTAACCAATAAAAAAAGTTGCTTGATGTGTTTAAGGAGTCGAACAACATTAATGATTATTGTATTTGTTGCATTATTGTTGGATAATATACTACTGACTACTATTGGTAAGTAATTATTCATTTCATATATGTGTATGTCACTGTGAGTAATTGAATGAGAAACAACGAAGGTTATCAAAATTATGTAACATAATTTTTTATTATAGAGTTATAGAGATTGTTGTTTTACAATGAAACCAGTTGTTACAACGCCATTAGAAACTTAGAAGCACTGGATGGTGCGGTTTTGTCCTGGTATTGGACTCTTCAGTAGTGAGCATGTAACAATGACTGAATCACGATATCAATGTAAAACAACAATCTACATAGCTTTAAAATGTGATATCATAAAATGTGCTCACTAGTGATCAGCTTTGTGCGGACATTTTCGCAGTTCTAGTGCAAATCCCTGAATGATAGAGTTCGACCCTGTTTGGTGTAGGCAGTAACCACCGAAGACAATTGATAAGATCGCGGGAAATCCTTAGATTGATAAAAGTTAGAGATTAACACCATCTTATAGTGGCTCACTGGTCTAGAGGTTATGTGTTTGGGCTCGAGACTGTAGATCCTTTTGTTTGATTCTCATGAGTGGGTGTTGTGGATGTGAACCTCTGACGATTTCTATTCTAGTTAAAAACGTCTGTCCAGTATTTCCAGGTTTCTAATGATGGTCTAATTACGATTGATTTACAATCCAATGTAATATTGCCGTGTAACGCATTTCAAACAATCTGGTTATATATGTACTTGGTAAAACCTTATATATGTAAAACATCAGAGGTTATTTAGAAAAATTATATTTTTAAGTAAACAAAGATAATTATAATAAAATGCACAGTTTGAAAACCATTTTCGACAATAAGAAAATATCACACTAGGGTAGGTTAAGGGTAAGAACAAACTGTGGTTGAACACACTAAAAGTGTTTCAATTTTTGTATATCCGAGGCTTCCATGTACTCTGTTATACACCCTTGAATACTTTTGTATAGCTCTACAAAAACGGACTTGATATCAACCTTACATCAGGTCTCAACCAAATGTTTCACGATGCAGGATGATAGTTGTATACCTTGTCGTCGTATCTGACCACTTTGTTCATTTGTTCTTGTAGACATTTAGGTATGTTTGTTGATCACGATCACTCCTCTCTATGAATGTGTGTCTGCACATACACGTAAATTGGTAGATGCAATGGGATGTGACCCTATCGATTTTATGCTGTTTAGATTCTCGGTGAAATATGGACTTTGACTTTTCACTATAATGATAAGTTGGGCTCCTTTAAATTTCTTACTGATAGCTAATTTGAGCCTTCATCTAAGCATAAGACTATTTGAGTCACCTATGAATGATAGGGGCATTAGAGACTCGTTTTTTTATAATACGGCAAAGTTAGTACGTTTCATCGAGTATATTGAAAATATATCACATGATTCTGATAACCTTCATCTTCCCATCCTATCTTCTCATTCAAATTTATCACTTTCAATAAAGTATTCTCATATTTCATACAATTTGAAATATTCTGGATTATTCTGTTGCTGATATTGTAACAAAAATAATAACAGCAGGCTAATCGAAACCACTTGAAATTGAATTAAATCTCACAATCGGTTGTACCACTCAGGTGGATATTTTGAATCACTAGCTAAATGGATAACACGATGGCGTTCGATGATGGGCTCCAGTTCTGGAGTGAACATTAGCCCTGAGATGCGTCAGATACATCCAGCTACAGACGTATCCCAAAAAGGACGAAATGTGCGACGTAGATTCCACTACTAGCTATATTCCTACCTATTCTGTATAAACTAGTGTAGTGAATGAGAACACAGGTGGAGGCAACCGAATTGTATTTAACGAAAATTACAGAGTTACTCAGTAAAATCGGAAAACCATATCGTAAATCGTTCATTTGCAAAGGATCAGTTCATCCTATGGAACTGGACTGTTCCTGTTGCCAAACATCAATCCATTGTCACTCTTCATGCGTTTCATACAAATTCCATTGTTTTCTGACTCTTCCTTTCTTGATCTTCCCTCCATATTATGCTACCAGACATTACGTTGACACTCACGCTATATACTACTTATAAGTAGTTCGCTCCACAGCACCACACTCGTCCCCCCTTTTAATAAGCTGTCGTCGTAGTCCTTCAAAACAGAGTCCCTGGTCAGTTAATATCACCTTCCGTATTCCGTGACACGCTGCAATATGCCGGATTACCACTTCGGTCATCGTTCTTGATCACTGGTCTGGAATGGATACGGCATCTATCCAACGTGTAGCGTTTACAAGTTCCCGATGCTGGAACACGGCGGCAGGCACACACTCGATAAACTGCGACGCCAAAGACTGTGCCCCGCCCACTCCTCACGGCGCAACCCGGTGAGCTCCACAGCAAGCACCAACAGGTCATCCTCGGCCGACAGCCGCGCCAACCGGAACCTCTGCGGCGCCTCCTCCCTGTCCGCTGGGCTGTCGAACTCCATTATCAGCCGCCCGGTGACCGTCTCCCACGCCGTCTCCTCGGTGGCACCGTCCAGGCCGTCGTGTACCGCCTTCGCCTCACCTCCCTGCAGCGTCCCCAGCACCGTCAACTCCGCCCCAGGCCCCCACCAGCTCCACCGTGGCCCCAAACTCCTCCAGGAAGCTCCGCAAATCTCCGTCCTGCAACTCCTTCGGCCACGGGAGCCCCTTCCTTCGAGCAGGCAGCGACACCAAATGTAGTGAATGAGAACACAGGCGGAGGCAACCGAATTGTATTTAACGAAAATTACAGAGTCACTCAGTAAAATCGGAAAACCATATCGTAAATCGTTCATTTGCAAAGGATCAGTTCATCCTATGGAACTGGACTGTTCCTGTTGCCAAACATCAATCCATTGTCACTCTTCATGCGTTTCATACAAATTCCATTGTTTTCTGACTCTTCCTTTCTTGATCTTCCCCCCATATTATGCTACCAGACATTACGTTGACACTCACGCTATATACTACTTATAAGTAGTTCGCTCCACAGCACCACACTAGTATCATATTATGTAGTTCATGTTTGCAGTTTATTTTTCTACCAAATTATTTCTAATAGTGCATTCTCGTGATAAACATGTTGTTTTTCCCAAGACAACTGAGGTTATTAAAAATTTTAATGTTTATTTCAACAGTAGTAAAATTGTATTTACTAATTGGGTTTACTAAATTGAATTACAAATAATCCAGTTATCTTTTGATGATGTTGAGATGTCTGGACTAAATGGTTTAAATCATATGATACCAAAAACATATGATACTATGGGACTGTGGAGATAGATTGTAAAGTTTCATTCAAATCATAAACTGATCAACGTTAGATCACCATTAGAAATCTGGAAGCATTCGGTGGTTGTTTGGTCTTAGACATCAACATCGTTCTATGGCTGGTTAGAGATCAAGAGGCTAAGTGTTTGCATAACAATCTAAATGTTTTGAATTCGATCCACATGTGCAAGGTCGCGGGTGCATACTGATGACAATTCCCAAATTAGTATGAAATAACCATGCATTGAGTTCAGATTTCCACTGGTGGTCTAACATTGATCGATCCATGATTACAATGAAACTAAACTACTAACCTGAGCCTAAAAAAGTAAAATTTCAATTAAGTTATCTGCTAACACATTGTATAATTATCATCAATACTGACTGAATGACAGTAATTAAACACCGTCGTTCACTAGCTTCATTCAACTAGTTCACTTAAGTTCTCTGTGTATCTAATATATAAATCAACGCAGGATAGTATTATAACTTATGATTCATAGTCATATATCGGAAGTTTGAATTGATTTCTTGCGACTATATAACGAATACTCCAACATGAAGTAGCGTTTTCTTCAGTTGTTTAGTTAAAACTCCTAACTTAGAGTAATGAACTAGGATATGCTTTTTGTATCCACTTTAATATGGCGTCTATCAGTAACGAAATAAGCTCCATATTTATATTGATATGAGTGAAATATTTTAATAATTAGGTATTAAATAACATCTCACATCTTTAGCTGGATGTATCTGAAACATCTCGAGAACTTTGTTCACTTCAGGCGTTCGAGCCCATCATCATTCGCTTCGAACACCATCAGCTACTGAGTCCATATATCCACCTGAGTTATTCAACAGTTTTGAGATTGAATTCAATTTTAAATGGTTTAGACTATTTCGTTGTTGATAATTTGATCAATCTTGGTTGTTATCTGGGCATTTAATGGGGATCACCATGGTTATAACCAAATAGGACGGAAAGCGCGTCTCAGATTCCAGTGCTAGCCATATTCCATCTAAGAGCAAGAGTACTTAGTGATCCAATGTTTAAATTAAATGATATGTAGTGGATTTTGAAATTCCATTAACTAAATCATCAAATCCTCTGTTCTTTCCTTCATGAATTTTGATGGTATCAATAGAGCTGATAATAATAATAATAATAATAATAATAATAATAATTAGTAATAATAATAATATGCTCACCAGTGACCAGCTTCACAACGTATTCCTGGGGTTCTAGTAAGAAGTTCTGACCAGTGGAGTCCAATGTATTTCGAGTACCAGTTAGTTATCCACCACATATAACGGACGAACGTTGAACAACACCATAGATTAATCAAAGTAAGATATGAACACCGTTTGATACCAACTCCATGGTCTAGAAGTATAGTGTTTGCAAGCAAGATCGAAGGTCTTGAGTTCTATTCTCCTGCATATCTTCTCGAAATCAAACTGGTAATGTGTCTGATACTTGAACGAAACCGCAATTAAATGTGTCCAGGTTCCTAATGGTGGTCTAGCTAAGGTCAGTACGTGATTTCAAACTACAAAAAAAATAATAATTCACATTTAAGATTATCACCATACATTGAATTTCGTTGTTACGTAATAATTTTTTTTTCAAAATCAGATCACATAATTTTACCAAAATAGATTAATTTTGGTTAGTATTAAGTTTCAGAATGTGAGTTTTATTCTGCTTAGCACGTATGGCCTAATTCGATCCATAATATAAGCTCTAAAATCTTTCTCACTGAAATCAAATGTAGTTGACTGAATGTTCAGTTCTTATAAACAAAACAAAAAACATTTTTATTAATCGATTGTAGTGTGTACTCAGATGTCAAGTCCTTATGGCTTGTCGTAGCTTCTGGACAAACTAATTGACCTGTTCTACTCGAGTTATTATTCACACTTTCTTTTGACCTTATCAGTTGGTTGCTTGTATCATTGATTGTCATTGTTTGAACGTGTGTGTGTGTGTTGCTTACTTCTTTTATTACATGTGAAACATAATATTGTGTAACTGAAAATTACTTTGTCATGCATGAATCCCCCATGAAGTTGGGTCAATTGCCTTCTCCGTATCGCTTAGTTTCGCTTGACTTTTACGTTTCTCTTTATTGCTCTTTCGCTCAAGTATATGTATGAAATAAACTCATCCAAATAAGTCGCTCTTAGTGACCGTCGTCGCACAAACATGGTTTACCCAAAGATTCTATACAGAAAAATAAATGACGGGTTTATTTCATTGAATACTCAACCATCCGTCCGAATTGCAGTTCGATTCCTTTTCGCCAAAAGGTGATAAGCTTTCTAGATACACGCCTGTTAGTGGGACATAGATGGATTAAAGCATGACTGAGTTAGCTGTGCGCTGATTGGCTAGTTTCCTTTCCAATCAGCGCCTGGCCCATTCTTGGAGAATAGGCTAGAAAATTCTGGTGTTGTTAGCTGCATGCTGATTGGCTAAATCTAATCCGGTCAATGCTAGTCAATCGCGTGAATCACATTCCAGAAGCTTCTCATCTAAAATTTATACGGGCACTACCATTGTATCTTCTTGTTCCACCGTGTTTTTGATTCTTTGGAACTTGTCCAGTGTATTGTTTGGTCAGAGACTACTAAGCAATAGGAATTAGCTGGGAATTATTTAAGTGAGCGTTACAACAACCCCTAACCTGATGGTTATTCGATTATTAAACATAATTGGCTTCACTAAAACAACCAAACAACAAAGAGAGTTAACTTAATGTAATCTCACGCGTTTTTTGTTTTATTTTCAGTTCCAATTATTCCTAAATTATTATCGAACGAAGAATCGGCAAAATACAATTGTACCAATGGTAATTGTTCTCATTCGCCTAATCATACAACGGAACATTTTGATCCATATATAAAAATTGGTATTATGTTCACTACAAAACCGCTTGTACAATTTCTAGTCAATCCAATTATTGGTCCTATTACTAATAGGTATTAAATATACATATATACATATTTATGTATATATTACTGATATGACTGAAACGAAAGTAGTATGTATGTGTAGTGTGTTCTTTTTTTCTAATGTTTCATTCAAAAGAAATCATGTTTTATGAATTTCTGATCTGATTTTAAACGAGAATTGTATGCTTTAAAAATTTGTTTCGTAAAAGTGTTTCATTTCTATTTCCAATGGTAGGCTTAATTCTAATTGGTACACTAGTCAACGTGATTGGTCTGAATTCCTTAAGGAATTGATACGCTTTTGTGTTATTCAATCATATCTAGTGCATTTTTAGAAAAAAAATAAGTTCCGTCCATTGATTTGATGAATATGATGAGTCAATAGTGTTGATGCTATTTCGATTCTTTCAATCGTAGAAAAAAGGTTATAAATTTTAAAAAATTTGTAGAACTTTTTAGTACATTGGAACATTGATCGAGTTTATCACCTTAGTTTTATGGGTTTTTTTAACAGTTTGTATTGAATACTGAACTCACGACAGTCAAGTAAATGCTACACTACTCATCCATTGTATTAAAAATAAAACTTTTGCATGCTTCATGAATTCAGTGAAATCATGATAAAATGTGATTTTTACAGTCGATGAGTTGAAAATTACGACTGTGCGATAAAATGTGTAGAAATTTTTCTGTTTCTGTTTGAAATTAATGATACTGTTCAAGATAAATTTCATCTTTGAACATCAACAATGAATACTGCCTTCTTGGTGGAGTTCTTCAACGGCTTGTTGAATTCACTTGATGCCGGTTGAATATGGTTGAATCGCAACGATTAGCTTGTACATAAAAAAAATATGGAATGTTCACAAGTTTCTGACTTTTATTAGATTAACAAGTTGTCATTTCGCGGACAGGATATATTTTCAAAAGATAGAAAATTGACTGACGATACATAATTTACTTATTTATTGCACAGATCATCAACTATTGCTCGGTCATCATCTATTGACTTTGGTAGGTAACTGAATCATACCCAATAAGGTTAAATGCCATTGCTCAGAATTTCTCACTGAACTTGTGCAAATTCCCTCTCGATGGTAGTCTCATCGTTTCAGTGGAATTCAGCAAACTTCACAACGCCCTACCTTTAATTTAAATAACTCACCGTGGCATATACAATGTGTGTTGATAGACACTGATAGTTGAAGACAAACTAATTGTATTTGTTCAAAAGAATATCTGTTAGATACGTGGGATATTTATGAACAAAAGCTTATAACTAGTTAACAATTTATTAACAGATCAGCTTATCTATTATCTGCTACTTTACTGGAACAAGAAGTTCAAGGTCAATGGAAAGATTTTACAATCCAGGCGCAGCTCCGACAGAAATGAATGAACTAACATGTATTCAATTCAAGCGTAATTATAATACAGTACACTTATAAAATATCATACTAAAAGCGAAAACCAACCAATCAGGTTTCAGGTTGTTCCAAGTGGGAAACACTAACCGAAGGTAATAAAAAGGGCACATTTTACGCGAAAAAAAAGAAATTGAAATTTCTGTAAACACAGAACAAAATGATTTCTGAGGATGTAATATCCTCAACAATCATTGTTAACCACAAGATTAGAAAGTCTTTAGAAAAATATTCTGTGAATGTGTAAAAATCTTTTGAAGGAAAAGTAATTTTTACAACTCTTTTCAAATAAAACAATTTAGTAGGTTTTGTTACGTTAGAATATTGAAAGACTAGTCTTAACTAAGAAACCTAATGAAAACTCAGAATCATACAATATTCTTTTAAACTCTAGTAGTATGAAACTCGTTGGAATCGCTCATACACGGTCACACATTAACTCAAACTGATAGTCTTTAGATCTTACCAAGAATGCGCGTAATTTAGACTACTAGTTTTTTAGAGCTAGTCAATTCACAATATAACAAAATCCTTTTGTATCCATTGTCTAAGCTTTCGTGCATACTATGAAAGCAACCAATATTCATTGCTTCCCAAATTTCCCGTGATTATCTTACTTAGATGTAAGTTCATGGTATAAACTATCGAATTATCCAACTGTATAAATTCTCAATGATTATCAAACTGAATATTTTCATTCGATTTTTCCCCTTAATATATGAGATTATCATTGGGTAAGATTTAAAGGGGATTGCAATACAAAAACAACTGTTCAATACTTTCTTACTGTTTAATGACTGCCTTAATTAAAATTAACCCATCAACTTCACTTTATACAATGATTATCACAGAAATTTACTTTCTATTATTTTTGTTTTATTTAAAAACAAATAGAATCGGTTATAGTATTCCAATGTTCACTGGATTTGTACTTTTGTTTACGTCAACAATTGGTAAGTTGTTTGCGCAAATTTCTATTGGATTCTATACACATTTGTAAATATATAAATATTGAAGAAAATTTATAGATATAAAGTGTAATAGAATGTTCCTTACTTAGTAAGTAGTATGAAATTGTAGAGAGAATTAAATTTTCTTTCATTTGATCGATCTAAGTTAGATAGCCACTGAAAAACTTGAAAACGTTAGAAAACTATTTTTTTTTACTCAAGCAAAATACTTATCATCAATGTGCATCCATGACTTCAGTACGTTGAATCGAATACAGAACCTTTTTTGTTCCAGCGTACCGATACTTGTCCTTTAGACTAGTGAGTCGGTATCCGTATACGTTAATGTCTAACTTCAAACGATTCATGATATTGTGCGACCATCTTTCATTATCTTCAGTAGGTAACTACTTCACTCTTGACACGACTAAACGGTATTGGTCATGGCTTCTTACAAGATCTCTGAGAATTGTTAGTATCGGTTTGCGTAGATTTCTGATTTTCAGTGAAACTATGAATCGATCAATATCAGATCATCGTTGATTACTATTCTTTACTAACTGAAATAGTCTTTTAAAGGTTATGTGTTAGTTAAATAGAATTTTATCACGATGAAACAAATTTCACCAGAATATTACAAAACGGTAATAGTTGCCAACCAACATCAATGTCAGAATTGTCAATACGAATGTCATAATAGTTCGATTGTGTGGAGTGAAAATTTCGAAAGCTAAAAAAGCATTCTTTACTTAAGATACTGCGGATCCTTTGGCAAAACAACTCCAGCAATAATCTAATGTAGTTGAAAACAAACCAGGTTCCAGATGAGTAATAAATTCGGGAAAAGCGATAGGGTTGGATAGGACACAGGTTAAGTATATCACCAGATTGCGTCATGAGGTAACGCCTAACTTGGAATACAGAATTCGAAAAGAAAACAGGTAGACCATAGAACTCATTGTGCTGAGCAGTCGAAGTAAAGATGAGAAGAATGAACAGTAATCAGGAAGAACTGGAAAGGAAAGTCTAGTACAAGGTTGGTTTCGAATGCTGGTTGGTAGCCTGTTTCTCACGATGAGTAACAGGTGTATGTTATCATCACTGAAATATGGGTAATTGTGAACAGAGTCTATGTACTGCAATGACTACAGTTTTAACTGCCCATCTTGGAAGTTCACACTTCCCTCTGAGTTTTAAAGTGTAAGAGTCACAATACTCGACATAAATGATGAAATCTATTTTTACTCGCAAACCGTATAAAACTTTTTTGGTTACCGGAATTATTCGTTTTTTTATTCGGGTAAGTTAGTTGGAATGACAAGATCGTAATATAAACTTGTATCAGTAACTAACTGATCAGAAGAAGTAGAAGAAAACAGTTTGCAGTATAAACAACATCCGGTTATCGATTTTTATTTGCTCATTGATTAACTAAAGGGTTCATAATGTCAAATACTTCCCTTATCAGATCAATTGATTAACACCGATGGAAACTTGAGAGCGATGGACTTCCGTTTCTTCCTAGTATGGGACTCGTTAGCCGTGTGCATCCATAACTTTCCATCCAAGTTAGATAGTGAACACTGTTGGGTGCCGACTCAGTGGTCAAGAGGTTAAGTGTTCGCGTGAATGCTCAACCTCCGGACCACTGAGTGGGCATCAAACGGTGTTAATGTCTAGCTTTCATCACTCTAAGAATTTTGCGCAACCTCACATATTGTCTCCGTCGGTTACTGCCTACACTCGCGCACGAGACCAAAGTTCCTGAGTTCGAGTCGTGTGAGTTCTGAATGCGCACTGCTGATGAGTCCCACACCAGGACGGAACGGCCGTCCAGTACTTCCATCTTTCTGATGACGGTCTATCAATGATTCATTCACATTTTTTAGTATTAATTTCTGTGAAATATTCTTTCGGATACGAGCAAGAATAAATTTTTGCATCCATTTTTGTGTAACTAATGCAACACAAACATGTGAACTAGTTAAATTAATTTTATCATATCTTACTTACCAGACTGTGTGTTCAATTGTACTTGTTCTGTGATCAATCTCATCCTTTTTGAAAAATGTACTTCTATTTGATCTTCAACCATCTTTGATATGGGTTGATAAGTTGAATCCATGTCTGTATGTCTAGTAACCTTCAGTTTATATAAAAACTAAGCTCCTGTAGATTACTTGACATTCTTCATGAATCTGCGAACATAGAAATCGTTGATCGTTCTTGTTCAATGGTGATGTACTGTTTTTATAACTTTCACTGTTCAGATAAATTTTTTATATGCCTAGGTAAAATGTAGGAATCAGTTGAAGCGATTCAGTAGTTTGTTATATTTTTTTTCGTTACAGTTTTTACTGTCGCAAAGAATTTCTACTTATTACTGGTTGCTAGAGCTGTTCAAGGTATTGGATCTGCATGTTCATCGGTGTCAGGTAAATTTGCCACAAATCAATGTCATGTATAGTTTTTATAGTAATACTATGTGATTTGGTTTTTGACGCGTTAATAATTATATCACAGACTGAATTTATCGAAGGAATCATTAAATTGTTTAGTTAGCATTGGTTGGATTTGTTTTTCTAGGGTTCATTGTCGGTTCCAAGCCCGAATAAAGTAGGAGGATCGGAGGATGGAGTTAGCGACCCTATCCCATGAAAAAAACTTGCTAGAATAAACTCAACCAGAAAAGATCATTTATAGCATTTAAACTTTGATTTAACAGTTGAAACGTTTTCATTAGGAAACGTTATGACGCCTCATGATGAAAGCCAAGTTGCTTCGGAAGTCACGAGGCTGACATCCCTTCTAACAACCAGAGCATCAATTGATAAAGGGATCAGGAGTGTTATCACAGTATGAGAGACTCTAAGAACTATTCAATTTACTTCAGAAATGACAACATACCACCTATAGGTGTTTAGAATAAGTACAACGCATTGGAAGCAATCTGAGAAAAAAAGTTGGCTCAAGGAGAAATATAGTAGTACTTCAGTCATGAAGAAGAAAATGTCTCGCACAAACAACCAGTCGCACTGATACTATCCAAAGAAGTCTAAAACGCACTTATCGGATATGAATCTCTCGGACTCAATATCATCAAAGCATCGTTCAAGACCAACAAATAAAAGATTACAATGAATGTTATCGAATGCTTTGTACCCACTAACGGTTAATGAACAGTTTGCATCACCGATTCAACTCGTTATGAAATCCAACACCTTCCCACATCATAACGATAATGTATGTGTACATTCCCAATTGATAAGTAGTGAATGAATACTGGTAAAGAGTTTGTCCTTGATTGATCCCAATTTGATGTATCTGTTGGAACTAAACAAAGAAGTTTCAGTTCTCATAGTGTACATTCAACATTCAGACTTCGCAGAGGCAGGTGTCAAACGGTATAATTTTCAGGTACAATCATTTAAGGTCAATAATTCAATCAACCAATGAATTGTTTTGAAAGACGCCTGAAATCCTGATCAGCATTATTTTAACTGATAAAATTCATACTAAATAAGCACAAAACAAAACTATTCCACATAAAAAGTATTTAATGAAGTGGATTTGTGGAGATTGTATTATTTTCTCAGTTGAAATCGTAAACTTATCTATGTTAGACCAACCTTAGAAACTTGGGATCACTAAACCGCCGCTTCGTCCTAGTATCCTATGCATCAGCAGTGCACATGAACGACTCGCGTACGAGGGTCATTTGTATTGATAATTCCGGCTGTTATGTTGGTTGATAGTTGTTTTGAGTTTCAGATATTCTCCAGTTTGAGAAATGCTACCCTTGGTTTCTCAGTTCTCGTCATCACATCTGCATCAGATCCATCTTGCTCATTCATGATGCTGTCCGGATAGGCCAAGGTCACTACGTTCTAAAAAGCTTCTCCCATAAGTGTGTCGTATCAGAGAAACTAGCTTTTCCCTTTGTGTGTGTTGAGACCTACTGTTTCTGGGGCTGCTGCTATACCGCTCTTGCATTTTCTGCCACGTGTTGTGAGCCAGATAATCTGCGAAGTCCGAATCTTCCAGCTTCATCCTATTTATCCACTGTATACTATGCTTTCCTCCAAATGTTGACGTCTTCATAATCCAGTCAATCACCTGGCGAAAGAGAAAAGGTGAGAGTAAGCAACCTTGCCTGACACCGGTCTTCACCTCAAACTAGTCTGTAAGCTGTGCTTCATGCATGATTTTGCGGTTTAACCCATCGTAGGAATTCCGTATGATGTTGACTTTCTTCTCAGGCACACCGTAGTGTCGAAGAAGCCTCCATAGTGTTTTGCTGTCCACACGTATTCAATGAAGCTGATGTAGATTGTTGAATCCCATTCAATCGATTGATCCACAATGATCCGTAATGTTGCAACTGGGTCGGTACACGATAGATCCTTACGAAATCAAGCCTGTTTATCTCGAAGTTTGGTGTCTACCAAGTACTTCATTCTGTTAAACAATACCCGATTCAAAACTTTGCCTGATGCTGAGAGGATAGTGATGCCTCTGTAGTTCTCACATTTGCTGAGATCGCCTTTCTTTGATATTTTGATCAGACATCCTTTTTTCAGTCTCTTGATAATTCTTCTAAATCCCAAATTTTTTTGAAGAGAATATAGAGTATTTTTGCAGTTACTGTCACATCCGTTTTCAATGCCTCAGCTGGAATGTTGCCTGGTCCCGCTGCTCTGTCGCTCTTATTTTTTCCGATGGCTATATGTATTAATGTTTCATTGATAAAATGACAAGAGTTGCAATTAATTTAAATTTCAATAGATGAGAATATTTCATAGATAATTTTCTAGAAATAACATCTTCCTTATACTAGCGGTAACTTATTTCTGTCAAACTATTCGTTTCAATATTGAGTAATCTTCTTATCTATATAAGACTAAATAGATTGTTTCCTCTTTTTGTCACTAATTATCACTTACTCATTTAATTACTTACGCCTTTTTGATGGTTCATCGGCTGACGGCCAGCATTCTCCAATCTACTTTGTCCTGGGCTACCTTCCCAGTTCTACTCAATTACGACTCATTTCCTCATGTCTGTTTCCGATTCTCAGCATAATGTATTCTTCACTCCTCGTCTTCTCTTTTGGCCTGAGGATTCCAAGTGACGTATTGCCTTGTGACTCGATTTTAGATGCGTTACTCAATGCATATCCTATCCAGGTAAAGTGTATTTTCTCATATGCTTCCTAAGTTGGAATCTAATTTGTTGTTACTAATTATGTCTGCACAACGGATCCTCAGTAACTCCATTATTTCGGTTTTTTTGATTTCCCAAAATTGTTTCATCAATCGCGGTAAATTGTTTTAAAATGTTCTCTTTTTTGAATTCATTCAGTTTTGTTTTGTTCTACTTTTTCTTCTCTTCTCAATATGTAGGAATGGGAATGTTAGCCACTAATTATGTTGATGAAACTGAACGAGGTCGTGCATTTGCTTTTGCTTTAAGTGGACTTGCAATAGGATTATTAAGTAAGTAAATTTCTACATAATACAATGTTTTAAAAGCATTATAAGTAGTAGTAGTAGTAGTGTGGTGCGCGCTACTTATAAGTAGTATATGACGTGAGTGTCAACGTAATGTCTGGCAGCAGAAGATAGGGAAAGATCAAGAAAGGAAGAGTGGGAACACAATGGAATTTGTATGAAACGCATGAATAGTGAAATGTCAGACAATGGATTGATGATGGATTGAAGATTCGCAAATTAACGGTTACGATATGGTTTTCCTATTTTACTGAGTAACTCTGTAATTTTCGTTAAATACAATTCGGTTGTAGTAGTAGTAGTAGTAGTAGTAGTAGTAGTAGTTGAAACCAGGATCTACGTTCAGTTCTGGATCCTAGAGCTGAGGTTCTCTTCAATATAACCATCCACATGTGCCCAGAGTGTTTGTCACTTAATGGCAATATCGAGACAACTCACACAGAATAAACATAAGACATAAAAATATTGATGAATTTCAGTCATAAACATCAGTTGGAAAATTCAAGCAAACAATATCAATGGATATTATATGTTATTTAATAAAAAGTCATAAAAAGTAATGTCATACTGCTTACCGTGTTCCAATTTAAATAGCTAGACGGTCATCACATTTGATTTGCAAAATTACTGTATTATGTAATACTACGTTGAGCCCACATGACTTGTCCCAGCGTTTGAACAAATTAACTCATCAATTCTTCTTGAGTTATTCACGCATTGTTCGATCTTTTCAATTGTTTGCTTACATTCTTAGTCGCTTTTACTTGGGTACATGTTTGTACTGCTTATATCGCTTATTACATGTCTAGCCCATTTTAGTTTGACTATAAACATTTAATCATGCCTCATCGGATGAAGTTAACTCACTGATCTTCCCCATTATGCATCTCTTTGTTTCTACGTTTTTTATTCTCATGTTTGTCTGTGTAAATGACTGCATGAAATAAACTCCTCCAAATGAATCTGGATTACCGCCGCCGCACAAACGACGTTCGCCTAAGTATAATATATGTGAATTGAAAAGATTATTTATTTCATAGAATACCCATTCATTTGTACAAGTTGCATCCAGATCACATAGCAGGTAGTCCTTGTATACAATGAGAAAAACACTTGAAGCTCGATACAGTTAGACATACTGTGTACTGTACATCTCAAGAGAGACATCGCAGATAAATAGATAAACAGATAAAATTGAATTTTATACTGACTGGCTGTCTAGACAAAGACGCATCATATGTTTATTGTATATACTCAACAATAATCACCGAACAATCATATGATCCTCTTTTCTTGACATGTATTTTATATCATTCAGTATATATTTAAACATCCATGTCGTTTTCGTGAATTTTGTAGTGAAAATTATGATCAATGATTAGTTGTTGTCTCTATTTTTCTTTTCAAAAGTTGGTGCACCCTATGGAGGAATTACATATCAATTTATAAGCGAAGAAGCACCATTTCTTATACTGGCTGGTTTAATTATCTTTGAAGGAAGTAAGTTGAATTAATCTACTCTAATCTTATTTGTGCTCACACGCATACACATAGATGAACTACTAGTTTGTTATTAAGTAGTCTATCTAGTTCAATGAAAAATTGAATGAAATTAGGAAGAACGATATTTTGTCATGTTGGATAATAAAATAATTACATTAAAAAAATTTCTTAATATGATCGTTGAATAAAATCGATGTGTTTAGTGAAATGAGAAGATAATTTATAGAAAAGACAATATAAACATCATACAACAGATCTCATTACAAAGCGTACTCTAACTTCATTCATAATTTAGTTCTTCAGTCTATGCTCAACAATGACCGATTATCGATAATTCAGTTATTAAACTGTCAAACATGTTAACGCTTTGAGTTCTCCGAAATGACCGATTAATTGAGATTAAATACTACTTCTTTCAAATTATTGCAAATCTCACTGTTAATCCAACTGTAAATTAATCATACAAAATGCAGTGTATTCATAAATCATTTTGATTGATTTCCGGCATCAAATTAGTCTGAATCATCGGTCTGTGTTTCCTTTAAGAGTAGTTGATTTAGGAAGCTAATAAACTATTATAATGGAGACAGATGTACTGAGCCAATCAGAAGTGGCCTAACGAGAAGGTCATGAGATGACCATCAAGAAATGTTCCACTGGACGAATGGATATCATTGGTTAACAAATGAATAAATGTATGTAGACAAGTATCTGTTCATATTATTTGAAAGTCAAAAAGAACATCTCTTTCTGTTATTTGCACTCTCTCTCAAACAGTCATTTTTGGAAGAGGTGTTCGAAATTATCACTCTCAAACCTCGGCAATGAGCATCATAACAGATACCCGGTGAAGTCATAATACACCCTACAAATATTTTTACTCCTTTTTCATTTATAAAATTTTTATCGACTGCATAATGTTAATTCTTTGTTTTTCTGAATTTAAACATTTAAGTTCTACAACTGTTCGCCTTAAAACCACGTATTCAACGTGAAAGTCAAGAAGGTTCTTCGCTACGTGAATTATTAAAAGATCCATATATTTTAATAGCAGCTGGTAAATTTAAATTTATTTCTAGTTCAGTAGTTGTTAACATAATACTTATTGGATACTACTTATTAGTAAATTAATTTCAACATTTTATTTTGACTTTTTATAATGTAAATTATATCACAAAACAGCTGAGAAAATTAGATACTGGCATCATTCTATTAAGGGATTAGTTATTTATCAAGGCCATTGTTAATGTATACGGTGTGTCTAACTGAAGTTTAGAATTGTTCACAGTACAACTGATCAAAATATAGTTTATCTTACTGTCGATGTAGCCCCGAGAATGTCCGATGAAGCCTGTGGAAGAAGTCGAAGAGATTTCATCCAGTCATAGCCTGGCAGAACTTCTAGGATGTCAAAATGTCATATGGTGATTGAGGATTGGATGACTGTATTGATATTTTCACTCTTTAAGATGTTGGTGCTCATATGACTATGCGAATGTTAACAAAAGATTGATGATTCTAACTGCTCAACAGAATGCAGTCTTAAACAAGGCCAAAGCACAGTTACGAAAATCATAGTATAGCATAGAATGATCATACAAGACGGCAACGAAGATGGTCCTGGACAATAAGAACCAAATTATAAATCCTTACCCTATTTAAACAGTAGTCCTAGTAACGTGATGAATTATCACCCATTATCCGTGAGTACGTTGGGTCATATCATCCCTTTTGAGTCGTCACCACCAAGGTAATAGCTACGAGACTCATGAAATGGACGGTTGACTTTACTGTATAGATAGAAGACTATGTCCCTCTTGCAGCCAAATGGACTCAGATAAGCATCTGTTCTGTGCAGAACCAATAGACTAGCTTTAACCATGAGAATCACAAGATTACCGTAATCTTACAGCGACGTGGTCCCTAGGTTCTGAGTGCGTCCTAATTCCATTAGCCCATATCATGAAAAAGATTCAGACCTACCCTACTCTCACCTAACCTTCTCGCAGAAAAAAAACTGACATGAATTCATATCAGATGCCTAAATGGTTTCGGAACCATTTTCTTACCTCTCGGGAAAACAAATGTATTTGACTTAAATTTTACTTGATGTGCAAAATTACTGGGAGTCAATGGGATTGCGAAAGTAGTTCATCTGTTCTCCATTTGGCCAGAAGTTACCCCTCGTAGGTCACCATACGAAACTATAACTTCTCTAGATGTATCGGCTCACTTCACCACAGACAAGATGATAATGACCGTTACTAGCCTAAAAAGAGTTTTAGTAGACGTGCCGAAATTTTAAAGAAATAGATGTCTCTAGTAGAATTTGAGTTCATGTCATTCTGCCGTATAATATATATATATATATATATATATATATATATATATATATATATATATATATGTATATATTAAAATACAACAATTGAACAGTCATTTTAAGTATCCTCTCACTTCATCGTTTTCTTATCATATTATGTTCGTCACTAAGTATGCGTGAGGCTACTACGAGTTTACTTTAGTCGATAAACGCGAACGACACTTTTACTAGCGTCCAGGTAGGCTACCTTGAATCCCAAGCTGAAGACTAAAGGCTTTGTAAGCGTAGAAAGTATATTCTACAAACACCCAGCAATCACACAATACAATCAAGCACACAACTCTCGTTTATTTATACATCATAGAAATGTCCTTGGGACAGTTAAGAAAATAGAACACTACAATACACAGCAGCCAATTACAGCCATGGATTTTTCTGGTGGGAAATGAAGTCTCAAGGTCAACTGATCGGCCCATGTTGGCAAACGTGAAAACCGAAATAAGGCATTTAACAAGCGAGTTTTGGGGATCTAACATCCCCAACATATCACTTGAAAATAGTACTTTCTATTTTCAATTATCATTATTCTTTGATTAACGAAGCACTAATTGATTGTTTAGACACACTTTCTTCATGACTGGAAGACTCTGAGTTAGAATTCCGACATGTTTCCAAGTGAACCCTATTACCTTTCAATATATTCAATCAATGATATAACTTACAAATTACTTATTTTCTAGTGTATTTAGTTATTTTTTTCAAAAAATTGTATTTCTGTCCAATCATCATTCATTTTCCTTCTTTCTTAACTTATCAAGGTGCAATCACTTTCGGCAATTTAGGCATGTCTGTATTAGAACCAACTTTACCATTATGGATGAAAACTACTATGAATTCTACTGAATGGCAACAAGGTATTGCATTTCTACCAGCTAGTTTATCATATCTATTTGGTACAAATATATTTGGACCGATTGCACATCGAATTGGTAGTGGTTATAGTGCAGGTCTAGGTTTATTGATTACTGCTGGATGTTTAATAACAGTGAGTTGGTTTTTTTGTATTAACTGTGTGGATAACATCTTATTAATTAGACAAACATGATCAAACTGAATGCTTACTAATTTATATTGAAAATTTCAATTATTATTTTAGTACAAATAACTAGAGCAGAACACAAATATACAATTTTTACTTCAAAAATTCAGTGAATTGTACATGTTGATAACTCATCACAAATAGGATGTTCTAAAGTTATGAAGATTGTTAAGTTTCATTAAAATCATGGATCGAACAGCCATTAAAGACATGGAAACATTGGACAATTGTTTCGTTCTAGTATGGAACTCATTATCAGTACGCATCCTTAACCGCACGAGTAGGAGGAGTCAAACCCAGTAAATTTAGTCATCCGCAGTTAGGTTAGACATCAATACCGGTGAATGCCTGCTCAATGGTCAATAAGTTAAGCATTCACTCATGAGACTGAAGACCCTGGGTTTAATTTCCTTTTTTAGGGTTGTGGGTGGTGCTCATTGCTGATGAGGTCTATACTCGAACGAAACAACCATTCAATGCTTCCAGGTTTCCAATGGTTGTCTAACATTGATCAATCCTTCGCTTTAACAAATAGGAGACTTAATTGTGTATCTATTCAATCCATATGCAAAACACAACTGGACTTATAAGTTCATAAATTATTAACTATGACTCGAGAACTGTGATGAGTAAAAGGGTAACTTATCATAATAAAATTCACACAGAAATTCTATAACTATGTAGTAAAAAATGCGTACATATAGTACTTCGTTGTACGTTAACTAGTTTTGAAAGTTCTCTTTCTCTCTCTATCTCTCTCTGCGCTTACATGATTCACTCTGATCTAACTGTTCAGTACCCCCAAGGTCATGATTATCTTATGTAAAAAACCAATTTTTAGCATTTTTCGTGTATCTGGTTATGTTTCGAATAGTTAAAACATTATTATCCATATAAATTCTCAGGTTTATTCTTTTATGTTTCAATCTTATGAAGCATGGATTATATTACTAGCGAAGTACATTTTAAGAAAATAATAGCAATTTTGCCTGATGGATGGATTTGATATACTTATTTTTTGAAACATTCACTCCGTATTTTTGTATTTCTGTTTTAGATACCATTTTCAAGACGAATAGAACATTTAATAGCGCCAATGTTTGGTATGGGATTTGCTGTTGGTAAGTGAAGCATGTCATACTACTGATACTACTACTAATAATAATAGTAGTATAAGTCTAACTAGTAGTATATTGAGGATTTTAATAAATTGTAGAATTAAATTAACTTTGAGAGATAATGTCTATCTGATTTGTTCTCAGTCAGTCGAAGCATATGTTCATACTTTACTCATGTGTATGCTTGTTACCCCTAATGGAACATAGACCGTTGATCAGCATTATCCAACCTACTGTGTTCTGGGTTCTACTTTACAGTTCTTCTAAGGTGTTATTCATTATTTTGATACATGTCTCCAACTCTCAGCACACTGTGTTCTTTGGTCTAGCTCTTTCTCTTTGACCTTGGGAATTTCAAGTTAGGGCTTGCCCCCTGGCACAGTTGGAAGATTTCTGCGATGTGTCCTGTCCACCTCCAGCTCTTTTTCCTCATTTCTTCTTCATCTGGAATCTGATTTGTTCTTTCTCATTGTAGAGTATTACTGTTTATGCCTGACCAAGAAATCCACATTATCTTGCATAGAAAAATATTCATAAGCACCTATATCTAGTGGATGGTGGTTTTTGTTATTTCAGAAGTTTCCGCCCCATACAATAGAACTGTCTTGACGCTCATAATGAAAATTCTGACCTGGGTGTTTATTGATAGTTGTCTTGAGTTCCAGATATTCTTCACGTGCAGAAATATTGCACTTTGTTTGTCTGTGATACTACGCAAGGAAGTAAACGTTTCAACATCCTCCAAAGCATATGTTCAAATGTAACCCTAAATGATCAGAGATTGAATCACAAATGAAATATTCGTTCTCTGAATACTGTAGACAGGTCGTTTTTGTTAATAAGTATCAACTATCTATGAACATAGCTTTTTTCTCTACAGATTTTTTATTCACTAACTAAATTATCTATATACAACTTTAAAATAAGGAACGAAATTGGTGCGAGATTTGCAAACCTATGTGCCTTTGAAAAACTGGTCATTGGCGGCACAGTATTCTCACACAAACGCATACAGAAAGTTAGATGGATTTCACTGGATCACACTACTCAGAAACAAATCGACCATAGATGTATCAATAAAAAGTTCGGAAGGACCATGGAGGATGTTAGAATAAAGAGAGGAGCTGATATAGACTCAGATCATCACTTGCTGGTCACCGAAATGAAACTGAATTTCAAGAAACACAGAACAACAGGGCGGACAACATCATAATAGTTTAATAGAGCCCTTCTTCGGGATACTGGAAAGCTCAACGAATGCAAGATAACCCTCAGCAATAGGTTCCAGCTTTTTCACTATTTAATCAATGGTATCCAATGGAAAGCCAGGATGCAGATGAACGATTTGGACTTCAAAGATGATCTGACTCTTCTATCGCACACACAACAACAAATGCAAGAGAAAACGACCAGTTTAACGTCAGCCTCTGAAGTAGCAGCATGTCTCAAAATCTAAAAATGGAAAAGCAAGATTCTCCGATACGACACAACATGCCCCAGCCAAATCACGCTTGATGAAGATTCTTTGGAGGACTTAAATACCTTTACATATCTGGTAAGCATCATCGACAATCAAGGTGGATCCGATGCAGATGTGATGTCGCGGATTTGCAAAGCAAGGGCTGCATTTCTACAAGCGAAAAATATCTGGAACTCCAAACAAATATCAATCAACACCAAAATCAGGATTTACAATACAAATGTCAAGACAGTTATACTGTATGGAGAGGAAACTTGGAGAACTACCAAAGCCGTCATCCAGAAAATACTAGTGTTTATTAAGAGTTTTCTACGCAAAATACTTCGGATTCGTTGGCCAGACATGATCAGCAACAACGTACTTTGGGAGTGAACAAACCAGATTCCAGCAGAGGATGTAATCAGGAAGCAGCTGAGGAAGGGGATAGGACACACACTGCGGAAAGAACCCAACTTCCCCACAAGACAGGCTTATTTGGAACCCTAGACGTAAAAGGAAATGAGGAAGGTCAAATAATGTATTACGCCGAGAAATAGAGAAATATAGGAGAAGAATGAACAGAATTGGACAGAACTAGAAAGAGAAGCTGAGGACAGAGTAGGTTAAAGAATACTGGTCGGTGACCTATGCTTTATTGGGGTTAACATGCGTAATTAATTAATTAATTAATTAATTAATTAATTAAGTAAGTAAGTAAGTAAGTAAGTAAGCAAGTAAGTAAGTAAGTAAGTAAGCAAGTAAGCAAGTAAGTAAGTAAGTAAGTAAGTAAGTAAGCAAGTAAGTAAGTAAGTAAGTAAGCAAGTAAGTAAGTAAGTAAGTAAGCAAGTAAGTAAGTAAGCAAGTAAGTAAGTAAGTAAGTAAGCAAGTAAGTAAGTAAGTAAGTAAGTAAGCAAGTAAGTAAGTAAGTAAGTAAGCAAGTAAGTAAGTAAGTAAGTAAGTAAGTAAGTGTAAAATAATAATAAATTCAAGAAATGATTTGAATGTCGTAAGCAGTTCATATGATCAGTTCAAAGAAAAAAATGAAACCAAAATTTGCAGTAGTCTATGTTACATACACTACTAAAAACTTGTCTTTTGTCTAACAGTCATATATGAACCAATATTGAAGTCAAAAAGAACATTGTCAGCACAACAGAACATATTGCATTTGAAATGTTAATTACGCACAGAATCTTATACTAGGGAATACGTGTTATTGTATTAAACATCACACAAAACTGTATACATGACACTTATCTGTGAAATCATGAATCGATTGATGTTAGACCACCGTTAGAAACCTGAAAGCATTGGACGGCCGTTTCGTCCTTGGCTGAGACTCGTCAGCAAAGCGTATCCACGACTCCCGCTACTCGCAGGATTCAAACCCAGGACCTTTAGTCCTCTAATGGTAGTCTAACACTGGTCGTACCACTGACCTCAATAAAGTAATTCAACAATCGCCACAATCCTTCCATGCAACTTATCTTTGAAAGAAATATCAATCAGATATCACAATTAAGTTCGTATTGGACAATGATGTATTGACTTTCAGACAATATTATCATATTTATTATGTTTTCTTCTTTTGTCGGTTCATTTAGGCATGGTTGATTCATCTATGATGCCAGTTATGGGTACTTTAGTGGATTTAAGACATGTTGCTGTTTATGGAAGTGTTTACGCAATTGCTGATGTAGCATTTTGTCTTTCATTTGTGATTGGTAAGTTCATTTCTATGATTGTTAAACTTTGAAGATGATTAGAATAATTGTCCCGCTCCTTTATTTTTAGCAAAGTTGTTTCCATTGATTTGAATGATTTCTTTATGAAAATATCATTGTTATTCTAGACAACATTAGCATAAATTAACTTCAATAAATTATTTCACATCTGATTAACAACTTGATTTATTAGAATAAATGAAATATTACTAACAGTGGATTAGTTAAATGGTTGTACCTGACTTCATCTTAGTACCGTTTCCTTCAAAAGCTATCCACTTAGTTTTTGAATTGAGATAGCCATTCACTCAATTCAATTTCGGATGGTTTTCGATTATCTGGTGGTTGATATTTTTTTATTGAAATCCTGAATCGACCATTGTATATAGACCATCATTAGATACCTGGAATCACTGGATGGACTTTTCATTCTAGTACAGGAATGACTCATCAGCAGTATGCATCCTCAACTTCCGCGCTTAATTCAACATCAAGCAGTAGTAGTAGTAGAAGTAGGAATAGAAACAGTAGCAGTAGTAATGGTAGTAGATTATAGAAGATCTTTAAATAATCACTCTGCATAGTCAGATAATAAAGGAAGCATATGAAAAAAGGTTTGTAGCTCTTCTAAGGTTACAGTCGGTCCCAAGTTAGAATTGAGAATACAGTCATTGACCTTAACCCGTAAAAGAGAACCTGGTTGAAAAAAATAAGTAAGATCCTCTGGTCGATGTTATCTCTACAGGTGTACTACAAACTTCATCAAAATGCAAACTTCGGAGTTGTAAGATCGAATACTTATTGAATGCGCTGTAGTCGAAAAGATCAGATTGGACTCTTTTGGGAAAACTGAAAAGTTTAAGTCATCAGACAGAATTAAACACTATTATGGACAGTCAAAATATATGTAAAGTAGGGATGGATTATTTCTTGTGGTTGATGTCAGTAAATTAAAGTACAGAGTTACGCACAAATTGAACCTACAAAACTAACTCTATTTTTTTTGTATTTTGAATCGTTCTACTTTTCAAATATTCAGTAGTCGGAATTTACTTAAATCATTTCTATTTCAGTAAAGTGGAGCAATCCATTCACATATGGTATAAAGAAGGATTATTTCTTTCCGATTGATTTTTCATCATGGTTCTACAAAGATGATAAAATAATACTTGTAAAGTAGTAAAATTAAGTAATCGCTCGTGAAATTATCCCATTGGTGTCATGCACTACCACTTGATTTGTAATATGTTCCCATAACTGTAAATCAAATATATTAGTGATGAGTCAGGATAAAAGAACTAATTGAAAAGAGACTTTTTCCCTTCCTGTTAAACGATCTTCTCTATTTGTTTATCATTATGTGTTACTTTCTATCAGAAAAAAAACAGATTTTATCTGAATACGTATTTTTTGTGTTTAGGCTCATACTCACTTCAGCATAGGATTGTGGAGATTGTTGAGTTTCACTGAAACCTTGAACTAATCAGTGATAGATTTTCATTTCAAACCTGAAAGCAATGTTTCCTTCTAGTTTAGAACCTGTCAAGCGAGATACGAGAGTCAAATCCAGGACCTTCGGACTCGCACTTCACCACTGAGTCAGTATATGTTACATCTTCTTTTTATCTTGTGTTTGCTTGCCTTTCAAATTTTGTTTGTTCTAAAAGATTAAACTATTTTTAAGTTGTAACATATTGTTCTCTTAATTATCAATATGATCGTTTGACATAATTATGTGTTGTTTTCTGATTGTAAACATTCTCAGTTGTTTCACTCTTCCCTACAAATTACGCCTTTTTATAGCATATAGTTGGCGGTTAGACAGCTTATAATTCAAATTTCGATCGATAATACAGACTTGAATTACACTATGTGTTCAATCTATTTTTATAATGTGGCATAAAGATGTTGAAAAAAATCTTGTTGAAACCTCTTAGAAATAATGTACTGAAATAAAATACGATATTCCTCGATTGGATTGATGCATTTCTATGATAATTTTGAGAAATCTAAGAATTCTACCTAGATTAAACATATTTATCGCTTAGTTGAGTGTTATTTTTTTTTCTTCTGTGAAAAAGTTTGCCATTTGTTGACTTTAACAAAAAAAGATGCCATAAATTTTCCCGAGAAAATTCATATTTCATTTTAATAAATGAATAAATTTTTTTTTCTATTCTATACAGGACCTATTGTTAGTGCTATTCTAGTGAAATTCTTAGATTTCAGATGGTAAGTTAATTTAATTTAAGTTAATTTAATTAGTTTGTTTTCCATTTGATGCATTCATCAACTGCTGATGAGTCGCATACCAGGATGAAACGGCTGCACTTTTAATGATTTCAGGTTTTTAATGCTGGTCTAACAATGATTGATCGCTGATTTCAGGAATAAACAACAATCACCATAATAACTCTATAATGAGAAATACATAAGTTGAAATAAAACCATTCCTACTGGTGTTATGTAATGTTTACATCATGAACTGAACTAAGTGAGATAATTATCACAAAACTGAGATAGATTGAAAGTCTATCTCTCTCTTAGTATGAGACTGTTTACTAGTATACATTAACATCTGTACTTCAGGTCAATAACAAAAGGCTTCTAAATATTGGTGCGAGTGGTTAAAGTCTATTATTATTATTATTATTATTATTATCATTATTATTATTATCAGTAGTAGTGGTAGTAGTAGCAGTAGTAGTAGTAGTAGTGGTAGTAGTAGTAGTAGTAGTAGTAGTAGTAGTAGTAGTAGTAGTAGTAGTAGTAGTAGTAGGAACCAGGATCTAGGTTCATTTCTGGATGTGGTGTACGCTACTTATGTTCACATAAGTAGTATATGATATCAAACGGAAATCAAACGTCTGACAGCAAAAGATCGAGAAGGAAAGAATGAGAACAGAAGGCGATTTGTAGGTAACGTAAAGTGAACTGAAGTCTGAACAGTCTAAATGAAAGAACACTGAAATCTGAAACAGAAATAAGGATTAGATTGCAAATGATGATTTGACGGGAAGGTTTTGTACATATGCTTAACAACTCTGTAATATTCGCTTAAAGATAGATGTTGATATCCTCACCTGAGTCTTCGTGCACAACATTTATTATTCCTGTCACCAGTTACTCGCATTGCGGCAATCTCACGCTGCAGCCCATCAATTTCCTTCTCCAGATCATCTGTCTTCGGAATCGCGCACGCCACCGAAGCTACTGTTCGCGTCATTAGCTGTCGAGTCACTTTCGCCAATTCATTTATACGCATTGGTTATGCGGCGCTAACCAACTTCAGCTGCTGGGAAATGGCGTCCGGAACGCTCTCGATGAACTGCGAAGCCAACAGCTGAGCTTCAAATTCCTCATCCAAACTCGGCAGCGCGCGATGTAACAGCTTGGTCAACTCGACTGCCAGCACCAGTGGGTCTCCATCCGCCGACAACTTCACCGTCCTGAACTTCTGAAGTGCCTATCCACTGGGCTGTCAAACTCCGCGACAAGCCGATCCGTGACCGCCTTCCATGTCCTCACCTTGGCATCCAGGCTGTCATACACAGCCTTCGCTCGACCACGGAGCCCCAATCACAAAACCACCATCTTCTCCAGCTTCCATCCGGCTAGCTCCGCCACTGCTTCGAACTCCGTCAGGAAGGCCACCACATCTCCATCCTCGAACTCCTCCGGCCACGGTATCTCCATCCTGGCAGCCGCACCAAATGTTGAGCACGAAAATCTAGGTGAGGACATCAACAACATATTTCAGCGAATATTACAGAGTTGTTAGGTATATTTACAAAACCCTCCCGTGAATCATCATTTGCAAACGAATCCTTATTTGTTTCAGATTTCAGTGTTCTTTCATTTAGACTGTTCAGACTTCAGTTCACTTTACGTTACCTACAAATCGCCTTCTGTTCTCATTCTTTCCTTCTCGATCTTTTGCTGTCAGACATTTGATTTCCATTTGATATCATATACTACTTATGTGAACATAAGTAGCGTACACCACACTATGTTTTACATTAAAAGTACTAATAATATCGGCTGAGGCTAAAGAAATGGTTAGTCTACGATCACACAATATCACTCCTAAAAACTTTTAAAAACTGTTCATATTTTTGTTGAATTAATATCACTTGCAAATCAGTTCAACATATTGTCACATCTACTGAATATATTTATCAATTAGATATTCTCATAAAATGTTATAAATATGGGTCAATATGAAATATTTGGAATTAGTAAATCGTAAATCTTAACTGACCAAATGTTTCATGCTAATCCGTAAGTATATGAGGTGATGTGCGCTAAGACAATCACAGAATTGTTCACATTTTACTAGAAACAATAAGCCTAAGCATCTTTTATCTCATTTAACTGTACTCATCACCTCATTGTCGTTTATCCGATTAGTTGTTATTGGCGTTTAGTTTGATAAATTTCAATTTGTTTGAAGATCAAGTTTGTATTACTGTGTGTGGAGTTAATTTTTCCTGTCTATTGTACTTCGCATATATGAAGTTTCCCTTCAATTTGTTTTATTTTCATATTAACGATCAGGTGTTGAAGTACTGAGCGCTACATGCGTTTAAAAATTTACGCAATAAAACTAATTGTTTTAACATAACTCAGCTGTATATAAATTTCCAAATATTGTAGTCCTACTAATGAATCTCAAATGTCAAAACTTTGTAGATTGATACTTCATGCCCGGTTTGAACATATGTCACTCAACTGTCACTTTAATAATGTGTCACTTATTTTAATGGGCTTTATGTAATTTCATAGGTAAAATTCAGTAGAAAAGTAAACAATTACTGTGCAGATTACGGTTAGTGATATGCACTTCACTTTTTAGTTACACAGTTGTATCGAAAATAGAACTATGATGGTCAGTGTACAGATAAAACTGGTCGGCATTAGAGAAATTATAGAATTTTACAGCAAACCTAAGTAATGTCGAAAATCACGTCTATCCATACTACCCTCTAATAGTCTATAGGTTAAACATTCGTGCACAACACTGAAGTTTGTGGGTTAGATCTACAATAGTGGAGTTGTGGATAAGCACTCCTAAATAAACCTATGCTAGGATGAAATAACCGTCCAATGTTCTTAGACTTTTAATATTCATCTTACTTAAACTGATTACTGATCTCAAAAAAGTTTCTAAGAAATGAAAAACATATACAACTCAAATGATGAACACTTTTGGTGTTGTTGAATTCTCAATGTTCATACAAAATGAGCATACATAATGTTGCCTAGAAAGGTGATAAAAGTGGTTATTTAACTGGTCTATTTAGATAACAGAATTCAACAATACACTCAAATTATAAGTAAACAATCAAGCCATGAACGGTCGGCTAACAATGATTGATTCATGATTTCAATGTGAAACAAAAATCTTCATATCTCTAAAATGACTATATGCTCACTGGTGACTGGCTTTGTGTCAAAATTCTCTAGTGAAAAGATGTGACCAGTGAAGTTAAACCCCGTCGGGTGTAGGCAGTAACTATCGAACACAATGGATGAGGTTGCGACAAATCCGTAAACTAATGAAAGTTAGACAGGCACACTGTTAGATACCGGCTCAGTGGTTCAGAGGTTAAGTGTCTGCATGCAAGATCAAAGGTCATGTGTTCGGAATCTGGGAGCAGCAGAAGTCGTGAATGCACACTGCTGATGAGCCCCTTTACCCGGACGAAGTGGCCGCACTTTCAGTGTTTCCAGGTTTCGAATGATTCATGCATGATTTCATTTCTATTTACAAGTAATTTTCTTATCCTTAGTTGACATTATGTTTATTTCAATTTTAATTTTAGGATGATATGGATTATAGCAATATTCAGTTTTATGTATGCGCCATTAACGTTATTCCTTAGAAATCCATCACAAAAGAAAAATAACAATTTAAAGGTAAAATAATTTTTAATGCATTTTAGTTTTCTGTTTTTAATAAATTTCCACTATTGTGATTAGAAATGTAAATCATTTGAAAAAATATTGAAAATTGAATAGAATGTCGTGTAATCTGTTTGATTATCTAGGCTGCCTATTTCCAGCTATCGCTTTACAAGATACAAAAAAGTACAACCCAACAGACTTCATAATGGCTAGTAATCTGCTGAGGTTAATCAGATATCCAATGCTCAACTGCTTACTTTCAACTTTTGATCACTAATTGTTTTGTAAGGGAAACTTGTTGAAATATTTTTTACTGAGAATTCCATATTACACTTGTAGTGAGGAAGTCAAGATACCATATTGACTATGCTCACCACTAAATGTTCCATACGGTGCCGTCATTCATATCAAAACAAATTAAATCCATGGTTGAGTATTTTATTGAAGGAGAACTTTGGCATTACATGGGGAGCAGGGCATTTAGAAAAATGGCAGCCAAGCGAAGAGAAGTAGTAGAAGTGTTCTTGGTACAGTTAAACAAAACGAGTACAATAATGTTTATCTTTCACAAACCGTATTTTCTTCATAGAAGCTTTCCACTACAGCAGCCCCCGCCTAGAAAGGGTTTACACTTCTGATACATAGCTACTGCGTTCGGGTGGGGGGCTGGTCGGCCAACATTTGATTGTAGTGCGGAAGGGTTGAGAAACAGGAAGCGACCAACGAAGCTCGAGTTGTCACCGAAAGTCTTCTGCGTTGAACTGTACCAGTAGTTACGTGCCAGGTTTGCTGCTCGAGTTGACGTGACAAGTTTGTCTATCGGATTGGCATGCCACACCAGCATGGCTAGTATCCAGAATCTGAAGTTGGCGTTCGTAGGGATTCGGACCAGATAAAGCTGCAGACGTAGGACGGGACCAGATTTAGCGAAGGAGCCAGAAACGACCGGTGCGAAACCATTCGTATACCATGCTTGTTACTGTTCATCTCGTATTCTTGCTATTTATTTATTTCGGTTTTATAGTTGAGTGTCTGATATGATGTCATAAAGTTGGTGTCTAGTGAGTATCCAATCCACTGATAGTATAAACTCGATCACTCATTTATCCCAATTAGGGGACGAATCCCTAAACACATTTAGAAATGAGATTATCATCTTCATGGTTTAGTGAAAATTGTGATTTTGAAGTTGTGGGATAGTTGTTTTAAGTTCCAGATGTTCTTCAATTATATGATACCCTTGCTTTACTAATTCGTGCTATCATATTTTCATAAGGTTCTCCTTGTTTTTCATTGGTACTGTTCAGATATGTAAAAGTTTCCACATCTCCTAAAGCTTTTCCATCAAGTGTGATCTGGTATCTAAGGATCTTGCTTTTTCCCTTGTATATGTAGAAACCTATAGCTGTAGAGGCTGCTACTACACAGGTCATCTTCACCAGCATTTGTTGTTGAAACCTGGTTTCTTCTCTCCCACCTAATCTTATAGTAAAATAATTATAACTTCATAACAAAGAAATTTCTGAAGGTCATTTTGTTCATGCGATTTCATAATTCTTTGTTTATTCAATGCTCAATGGTTCGATCTTTTTTTCCTAACTTGTTTACATTGAACAAATATCAATTACATAAATATTTAAAATGATTACATACAAATAATATTACAGATTCTCATGACTATATAAAATATATACTGAGGAATTTCTCTTTTTTTTAATGCATTTTCAATATAGATAAGCGTTTGTAGATCAATTTACGGTTTAAACGAAGAACAGTGAAATCCCATTCAATAAAAAACGATTTTCATATTTCAAGTGAATTTAATTTATCAAAAAAATTGTGGTAAGTGAATGTAAATGGATTCTAACAGAAAGAAAGAATATATATCTATGTATAGATATGTACACTGAACTGTAAATTTTACTTCTGTTGAGTTAAATACAGAAAAACCTGTCAACTTGGTTAAAATGTAACTCAATAATGACGTGGTATGTAGCACATATTGAATGGAAATGAAATTCTACTAATGACTAATTCTGACTAATATATTTCCCTAGTGCTAAAGCGTCAATCAAGAAAACTAAAATTCCATGGTGAGATTATAAGTATTCAATATTTGTCAGTTCAATACTAGGATGAAATAGTTGTTCATAGTTACCTTCATTTTAATGGTACCTAAATTGAAAATCATATCACTAGACGTATACTAACTAGCAATACGTTTAAATGTTAATTTGTACTCTAGTAGCCATGTACGGATCAATACTGAACTGAGAAAGAACTTCGTGAACCCAAACGAGAGCATTGTATTTCGAATTCGAATTAAGCGTGGAATAATGTTCAAAGGAATCAGTATCACATAGTCATTAGAAGTAGTAGTAGTAGTAGTAGTAGTAGTAGTAGTAGTAGTAGTAGTAGTAGTAGTAGTAGTAGTAGTAGTAGTGTGAAGGAGAACACAGGTGGGGCAACAGAATTGTACTCAACGAAAATTACAGAGTTACTCAGTAAAATCGGAAAACCATATCGTAAATCGCTCATTTGCAAAATATCAGTCCATCATATCGAACTGGACTGTTCCTGTTGCAAAATATCGATCCATTGTCACTATTCATGAGTTTCATGCAAATTCCATTGTGTTCTAACTCTTCCTTTCTTGATCTTCCCTCATCTTCTGCTGCCAGACATTACGTTGACACTCACGTCATATACTACTTATAAGTAGCTCGCACCGCAGTAGTAGTAGTAGTAGTTGTTGTTGTTGTTGTTATAGAGTCCACTAATTTCTTATATAATCATCTATCCGATAATCACCGTAATATAATGTGTTTAACAAACCGCTTTTTGTGAATATAGCCCAACATACAACATATACACTTATCACTCTCAATGTTGCGTATTATATTATGAAGTTGGAATAACTATGAAAGGCCGTAAATCAACCATCAGTAGAATCCTGGAAGCCCTGGACGACCGTTTTGTCTTAGTGTAAGACCCGTCAACAGCTAGCGACAATCGAACTCAGAAATTTCCTTCACTCTCACAAACGCCTAACTTCTAGACCGTTCAGCCGGCATACATAAGTGTTATTGTCTAACTTTCATCAATCTAAGGATTTCCTGTGACCTCACCTTTTGTCTTCGGTAGATAACTGCCTACACATAAACTTCACTGGTTACGACTACTCACTGGAACTCCAAGGTTTTCCTTACAAAGTTGGTCACTAGTGAGCTACATTCCACCTATTGTATATATATATATTTTTTCTTTTTTTGAGATGGGGGAGAAAACTTATAGCTCAGGTGGATGATTGTGGTGGTGTTTCGTTCTCTGAGCGGGTTATTTTGGTTGTGGAGCTTTCATTGTTCTTCTTAACAACATCATCAGCACAAACTTCAGATAGAAGTGAAGTGCAATCAAAACAAAGTTGCAAACAACGACTGGTCAAAACGCAACAGCAACCAATCAAGATCGAGGTTAGTAGAACAAGCTACAGGTCAAACGTGGAGAAATTCGAATGCTTCACTTCTATCTGAAGTTTGTGCTGATGATGTGGTTCAGAAGAACAATGAAGGCTCCACAACCAAAACAACCCGCTCAGAGAACGAAACACCACCACCACAATATATATATATATATATATTTATATATATTTGTAGGTCTTCAATAATAAAGAACTTCAATCGTCTAAGTTGTTTAAAGTTGCGTAAATTTACTTATTATTTACAAAGTTACTGTTGTCTATATTCTGTTTCTTTTTTCATTTCAGATTATGCATTTCTAATTATATATATATATATATATATATATATATATATATATATATGAATAAACTCTTCAAATGTTTTTACACAGTGATCAAACAGTCATATTCAATAGAAAATTTTGTTAATTCAGGGTCAGATAGATGTATTATCATCATTAAAGTTAGAAAACAATGGTGTCTTTCATTTGATCAATCAATTTTTGTGTTAAAAAAAAGACTTAATTCAACTGATTCAAAAAAACATCTTGACTACCTTCTTTTTAAACAAGTTTAAACTTTATTTATCAATACAAATATATAAATATTCACTTCAAATAAATAATGAATGAATTCCATAAATCTATTTAAGTGATACGTTAAACAGTAGACGAATATCGAGTTGTTTTAATTGGGCGGCTAAGCAGATTTATGAAACTATCATTGTTATATCAGGCCAAAAAGACATTATAATTGAATTTAAGGTTTTTAAACCATTTTTATGCCTAAAACCAATTTAACATAGTGTTATTGAGCCTAAATGAGCTCATAGATTTCAGGAAGACTTTCAATTTTTTCTGATATGATAAAAAGTTTCATGATTTTGAAAATATGTAACTATTGCTGAAGAAACTCAATTGATAACTAGTAAACAAGTTCATTTCTGAGTCATTTACAATGCCATGAAAAGCTCCATAGTCTAAAATGTAATCAATTTCACAACCGTTATCAATCAATCCTTTGGAATGTTTGAAATATGAATGAAAGCAACAACCATGACAGGTTTAGGTAATTTAGACATTTTTTTCAGAAGTTGCGGTTGTTTGGTGAAATCAATGAAAACTATTCCCAATATTGTAGGACGTTAAAATGGTTTGGGAGTTTACATTCTAATGTTGCACAAAATAAAATATACCAAGAGCATTACTTGCTCTATAGTTGTTGAATTCGCAGTGATCTCAGTGAAATGAGTGTAAACAACCATTTTGTCCTGATTTCCGAAAAGTATCCTTATTTATTTTCTAAACTATATTCTAAGAATGTTTTAAACTGGAAGATGAACTTACAAGTCTGTTTTCATATGGTTTCGTAATAGTAAATCGTGTAAATGAACATTGTTTAATGACTCACGAAAGTGGCTGTTTCGGACAAACGACTAACAATGCTATTCAAATAAATCTTTTGTTTCATTCCGTATCCTACACTTCGGCCGATGCCGTTTGTTGGAAAACGAGAACACAAATACAGATCAAGTTGAACTGTTCTATCGCCTGTGATTGCTCGCACCGACAGGTACAAAAATAAGTGTCAGGAAAATAAAGCAAAGCAAAGTAATCTAGTGTTCGAACTCCGTTAATTGTGACCAGACAAAATAAGGTAAAATCATTGCATGAATAGAGTACGGGATATACACACATGCTGAAACGAAAACAGTCCTGTTCATAAGCGAATAACTGAGTAGATCAAAATGGTTTCTCCCCTGGGCCGGTCCGCCCCTCCTTAGACGACCTGGACAACCAGCACTCCGACGGGTCATCCATAACGGCGCCATGCTTAGCATTGACGCCCGACCAACATGGGCGCCAGCATGCCAGAACTCCCACTCCCGCAAAATCCCGCACCCTGGCCTCCAAGTAGCTAGATTACAGGCGCACGCCATCACTCGTGCGGATAACTTGGGGAGAATAGAATAATTGCTCTGCTAAAACTTAGAGAAACTGAATTAGGCACGACATGATAGTGCAGAAAGTGAACCAATCCACTTCCATACGATTGTCTTCACATGGAGATTTTGCAACCCTTACAAAAAAACACAGAAGGCCTACTGGTCAGTGATTGCTAATGAGTCTGTAGTAAGTCCTGAAGATCGTTTCAACCCAGCTGATCTGATAATTTCACTGAAGTCTTCTTTGGACGATATACTTGCGAATAACTTTCAAAGAAGTCTTGAATTTCGATATTTCGATTGATTTCGTTCTCCAAAAACATATACGATATAATATTGCGTCCGTAAAGCCCAATCGCTACGATATGACTTTGTTTGGCTTAATGTCACATCACCATTGTCGTCGAAACACTAATCAACATTGATATCATCAACCATATAAAATTACTGCTGATATCTAATAGTTTGCGTTTGGGTAGAGTTGATTGAAAAATGAGCTTCCTGAACTAGGAGAGTTTTACGGCTGCTGTACAATGCTATATCCGCAAATACTAAGATTCAGTGAAAAATGGGTAGGAACAGACAGTTTTGGAAACGACATAGTGTTATATATGACTGGTCTTTAGAACCAAAACTACAGATAACTTATATACTCCCACAACGCAAGGTCTAAATATTTCACCTACCTCCATCCCCTGAAAATGCTGTAACATTAGGTATTAACTTCTCATGGTACTCCGTTGTTTCTATGTAATTGTACTTCATTCCCTGTCATCACTTTAAAGTCTCTAGAGTGGTCTGCCACTTGAAACAGTGGGACAACAATCAAGGCTAACTTCAATTAAAATTATCATTCGTAGTCCTCTACAAGCGTTCCTTAGTGAGAGGGTTGAGTCGAGAGTGACTATGATCACCACTAAATATTGATTACGAACGCGTCACTGTAGAGATAAATAAATCCAGGGTAAAAAATATATTTGCTGGTGATTTCGTGGTGTCGAAAGAACACTGAAGTTAAACCAAGAAAGTGGGCGAAATAAAGAGCATCCAAACCAAAGATAGCAGCAACGCAAACGGAAAGTCGCGCGTAAAAAAGTATTTAAATCAAAACGTACAGTTAAAAAAACACTGGTAGAATTGGTTATAATAATGAATGTTTTTATTTCTCCAATCTCGTTCTCTTCATAAAAGTACTCTAACACTGTTCCTCCTTCTGCATTCTACATATTTATCGACCGTATTCAGCATTATCTACCCTCCTTTAAAAATTCAATACTTAGTTTTGATGCTGGCTGTAAAGTCCAAAATAACAAAATTTGGTCTGAACGTGGGATTAACGAACCAACATATGCTCTGTTGGGACAAACTACCTTTGTCTACTTTCCGAACCAGGCGTATCCTTATAACTCTTGATATATAAATTTAGAACGCAAATTCTGAGCACGAATTGAACGTTTCTAACGTACAAAAGAAAACAACTTACAAAGAAATTAAAAATACCTTAAACTGTTAAGCTCATGTACAAAAATGCTTACTAAATAGTAGTAATAGTTGTTAATAAATACGTGTTCGGTACCTGAAAATCAACAAAAGTTTTCCCAACAAGATTACTTACTTACTTACTTTCGCCTGTTACCCCAAATGGAGCATAGGCCGCCCACCAGTTTTCTCCAACCAACTCTGTCCTGGGCTTCCCTCTCCAGTTCTGTCCAATGTTTGTTCATTCCTCTCATATCTTTCTCTATTTCTCGGCGTAATGTATTCTTTGGCCTTCCTCTTTTCCTTTTGCCTTGAGGGTTCCATGTGAGGGCTTGTCTAGTGACGCAGTTAGGTGCTTTTCGTAGAGTGTGTCCTATCCACTTCCACCGCTTCTTCCTGATTTCCTCATCCACTGGAATCTGACTTGTTCTCTCCCACAGTTCGTTGTTGCTGATGGTGTCTGGCCAACGAATACGAAGTATTTTACGTAGACAGCTGTTAATAAATACTTGTATCCTCTGGATGATGGCTTTGGTAGTTCTCCATGTTTCCGCTCCATACATTAGAACTGTCTTGACATTTGTATTGAAAATCCTTATTTTGGTGTTGATTGATATCTGTTTGGAGTTCCAGATATTTTTCAACTGTAGAAATGCAGCCCTCGCTTTGCCAATCCGCGCCCTCACATCTGCATCCGATCCACCTTGATTGTCGATGATGCTGCCCAGATATGTAAAGGTGTTAACGTCCTCCCAGGCATCTCCATCAAGAGTGATTTGATTGGTGCATGTTGTTCCCAACAAGATAGGATCAAATATATACTAAAGGAGATGTGAGCAACTGTTTTCAGGAGGTAGTAAAAGGTCAATGATCATCCGAAGGACCATTTAAGTAGCCTTGTGTTTGGTCAGACACGATTTATTTACAACTGCTCAGCAAAAAGCAACGGTTAAATCAAAATTAAATAAGGTCAAGTAATAATGACTGAGAAGCACGGAACATAGTTACAGGACTCCTGAGTGAAAGTTAAATAAAAAACCTGGAAAATAATAATACTATCCAATAAAAAGCTGCGAAAGGATTTTCTGAGTATTCTTCTTGTTATAATGGCTAATACATATGTGGAACCTAGATGGACTTCGCAGTCAATATGATATGCAATCATAAAAAATGAAAATGTAAGATAGCTGAGTGAAATATATTTGTGAACATAGTGCTGGGATTGAGGCTCATACATACGCTGAATTTTTCGTCCGCAGGTATTGGATGGAGTAGTCCGAAGAATTTTTTAACTTACGTATGCACAGGGGTGTTCATAGTTTTCATATCCTATTACCTTTTATTCAAATAATAATAATGCTAATTTATTATCAAATAACAACATGTTATACGAGGCACACCAATTTACAGGAAGGATCAAAATGGTAAAATTGCTAACATTTCCTGTAATATGTTGTTCAGTAACGTAATTATTTCACAAGATACTTTGACTACTTATATATGGCTAAAATCTTTCATATAAAACTATCTATGATGTTCCATACTCTGTAATATACAATACGGTAGTTGACGGAGGTACGATGTTTGCGTTAGGATGAACCACTGATAGTTGAGATAAAATGCAAGGTAAATCCAGGTATGCACATAACAAAAATCGATGAGGTAAATGTGCGAACATCTTCTTGTTCAGATTCGTTAGACAACAAGTCTACGAACTCCTAGTAAAAGTAACCAAATCTTCGGCAGCTACCCAGGCTAATATTTAGGGAGTAGAATGAGGTGCTGAAAAATAAATGAAGAGAAAGAGGCTGGGAGCAGAACAGAAAATGTTCTTTTTTAAAGCTGAAGTATGATTCAGTAGATTGCATTTTTGGATAAAACAAAGGTGTCGTTACTCATACCTCTTTTTTTGTTAGAACACTTTGTAGAATCCTTTTTGAATGTTTTGTTTTTTGGAAAATCCCTCCATGTTTACATATTTTTGTTATGATATGACGGACTTTTCTTGTTGACATTTTTGGTATTTTATTTGATTCCAATTTGAGATTTTATCATTGTATATTGTTATTTTTTCTACATTTTGTACTTATATTGAAGTTTTTGTGTTTGCTTCTGATCTGTATATATGTTGTTTAAATTTGATCTTTAATATGGCTACAGCCATATTTGGATTGATACGGTCGCCGTAGGACTTAACGTCACTTATTTCTTGTTGCTTCGGATACTCTTCGGAGTAATTGTAACCTGGAAGGTGTATTAATTCCAGGTACTGCTTTGTATTTCCATGTTTTTATTAATAAAGACACTTTCTCCTAGAATGTTTGCTTTATCGGGACCTTGGACTGGGAGAAACGAGTTCAGGAGTGCATCTATTGGAACCCATTGGAACGGCCACCGTAGAAATCCATTTACACACTTACTGTCTACCCGCACTAATGTAGGTTGATGAAGACAATTCACTAGTAAGATGACAAATGGGCATATAATCGTATTAATATCGGAAATTCAAAAGAACTAACCTGTTAGAAATAATGTTGATTTTCATAATATAATAATGAAGGCACAGTGATCTGGTGCTTTTGCGATATTTTATTTATTATTTTTTTAACGCTGTAGCTGAAGAAGTTTCAAGTGAGCTCGTTTTAACCATAATTATCCAAATCTGCTTGTTATAGGATTTATTGGTGGGAAGTGAAACAGTGCAAAGTTACAAACATTAGACCTTGACGTGGTGTACATGAAAAAGCGACATCAATATCACTGATTAGTTATATTCTGCTATATCGTAAGGAGCCTTAAGCGAACAAAATATCTTGCCCCACAGATATGAGTAGATTGAGATTATCGCCCCAACATCATGAATGCTCGTCAGATATACTACCGTTCGTCCTTTCGAGTTGTTAGGCTTTCCTATGTTTAGCGTTAGATTTCTATTAAAGTTTTTTAGTTTTTGCCCTTTTTTGTACACTTCCTCTACTGTCTCCACGTTATAAGTAAACCAGACAACTTTGGCTACTGTGTGTTGGACTAAATATCCATGTAGCATATCACACTGTTATTAGGTTGATTAATGGCATAAATTATAAGATATGCGTCAGTTAATAAGTATTTTGGATATATTGAGTATAGGCAACGGAAGAAAGATTGGGGGGAAATGTAGTGTTAAAAGTTCATGAGTAAGCCGATAAATAGGTGAGAAATCAGTGTTTGCAGGGTAATGAGCTGGGGAAATAAAAATATATTAAACTGTTAATCCATGAAGAATTAGGAACTCAAAATGATGCGGAAGTTTGAATCCCTTGCTGTTCCTTACTGTTAGTAAGAGTAAGGGGATTCCCCGAACATTTCGTGATATCTGTATGGATGGTGATGTGAGTGCAATATATTCATGGTCTGTTATTATTTTCTTAAGTTATTCTAAAAATTTGGTGATTCGTAAAAGAGTGCCTTGGGATACCTAACTAATCTTGTTAGTCATGAATCGTCTTTCAGCAGCTGGTACCATCTGTGAGATCTCTCATTATGGCTTGACTCAGATGTGCACAGGTCTGTGGCTCTAGAAAACATTCCCAAACGAGTGGTTCTTCCTCTCCCTCTGGCCAAATAGACTCCAAGTCTCTTGAAAACATAGATCGATTAACAGAAAGCATACTAAAGCCTCCAGATACCATACTGGCTGAGTTACATTTTGATGTACTTATCTTCTCAGTGGTATCCAGTACATTAGTTACCCAAATAACAATAAAACAAACACAACAAGCAGACTCATCACAATGCAAGAGAATAGCTGAATTTCATTTATCCCTGTTGGGCATTCAGACTACTCGCTCACCATTTTGTGCATGTGAACCGCAAGAGAGGCTGCATACGATCCTAAAGTAGCTGTCCGTAAATAAGCCACCATTGTGTTTGCCAGAAACAGTCTTACATATTTTTGATTACTGTCAGATGAACGAAAGTGTATCGCTACTGCATATTTACATTTCTGAAGCATCATAGAATATATGCAGATCTGATCTCCGACTGCTCCTGCTTTAACTTATCTGCCTTAGAATTACGAAATGAACCACAGGATCCAAACAATACGTCCGTTCTAACTAGAGATTGTCTAATTCGTCATCAACCACTCAATCACAACTCCATTTAGTCTAAAACGTTTCCTGTAATATCAATTTAGCGTAAACATTAAACAGGACTAATATTCTAAATGGATCAAGCAGCGAAAAGGTTGTCAAGCTAACGGTTTGATGTTGTTGTCTTCTACAAAACCCAAAGTATCATTAACTGAGTGTAATTATTACACAAGATGGCATTCTTGAAAATGCCCAGGAAATCCATCCTCTACACACTGTGACTGAACAGCTAAGACAGGCCCACAAGCTTTCAAGACTATGTTTCTTTCAGAATTATTTCAGATTTCAAAGAGTCTACGTGAAGTAGCTCATAGTTCCAGATGATGTCCTGAAAAGGAATGAAAATATGGTTAAAAGATGAAGGATGTAATTACTTTGGAAACTACGTTGCCAAGAAAACTCAGAAGGGCCATCCGCAGTACTTTTCATACTCGCTGAACGTGAATGGGTAATATGATGCTGTAACTAATGTAGTCAATGATGTTCAGAGGTCGAGTTCCGTTCAAAGATTAACGTTAGCATTTCGATCCCTAAACTAATAAATTTCAAGTATTTTGTTGTAAAATTTAATACAGAAAAGTAAGATTTTATAACTTTTCAAATCAAACCGAGTTAAATTTAGGAAGTTGCGCTGAACGCTTGTTTAAGTTAGTCAAAGTATTTAATATCCTACATCCAAAAGTTGTGACAGTTTAATCAGGATTACATGATGGTCGCTCTCTGGATTTTATATATGTCTTTGCATTTATTTTACACAGCGAAAGCATTAGGTTTGCCATATTATCGTTCTTACGATTCTGTAGATCAGATCATATGGGCTGAATTATCCTCAAATACTACGTTCTGTTGTAACTTACCATTCAAAGGTTAGTTCGAGTTTCATCTTAGAATGAGTGTTATCTTAAAATTCGATTTCAAAAGAATTCAAATCATGAGTTTTGACCCATGTACACTCTAGAATCAGTTGTTTACCTTTTTTTCTGTTATTCCATCAAACTAAGTCAGTTAGTTACAACGTAGAACTTCGTACGTACGTACATCAGTTCCAGTTGCCATATCACATCAAACTTGTTTTGAACTGTTCGTTGTATATCGGTCTCCTGCTTTATTTCTCCGAATCAGTACTAAATACAGTTATTGCAAACTTCTGTTCGGAACTCCCATAGAAATCTAAAAGTAAATTCACTCACAAACCCTACTATAGTAGTGGAGACTAGATAATGCAGTGTGTGTATAATTTGAAGTCGAATGTCGGCCTCCTTTTAATTTTACACATCATGCTCCATGTATAAACGCATGCATCATTGCTTGTCTTAATGAAAAGCTTATTCGGGCTTTTCTAATTTGAGCTATGGAACTTTCGGCATGGAAGTTAATTTTCCCTTGACTATTTTCAGTCAACTGAAACAGCATATTCGACGTAGTATGTAATGATTTAATACCCTGTTGTTTGATAATGTACTGGCTTTATATTGTGATTCATTCAACAAAAATATTATAAAAAGGTGCTGGGTTTTAAAAAGTTAAAATCAAAGAACTAAATAATTTCATCAGACTAAAATTTTGGCGGTGCGTGTTTTAACCCTAAACAGTCGAAAGCAGAGTATTGATTTTGACAAGTGTACGTTCACCAGAACTATTCAAGAATATTGGCACATTCAGACACAATAAAATATATATTAAACAAATGAAAATAATATAATTATGAACCAGATTAAAAATCTTACCATTTGATGCGTAGTACGATAAAATGACTGTCAAAAGTTGCAATTTAGGTTTTAAACTATTTCATTCAAAATGCTTATGCCCCAAAAGAGACTGTTTAATCACAACCTTAAGCATCAATTGGAATATCTAAACAAGCAACACAAATGTGATTTTCCTTCAAGTTACCACTATCGAAGATCATTTCGATTACAACCGTTTTAAATGAAGACAGTTGAATGTGATGTAATACCACTGAACGTACTACATTGTGGCCTCAACAAAGTCGACCTGTGTAAATTAGAAACCACATGTCAGCCAGTACCGAAAAAATATATCATACAATTAATTGCTCTTAGAGTTTTCTCACTGTGTTTAGACATAATGTAAGTGCCAAAATTTTGCGATTAGGAGTATACTTCATGAGGCATAGTTTTAAAATATCATTTTCCTTATCATTCTAAATTATCTCTACTCAACACATCAAAATAACAGTTTTTCTATCTTTTCTGAGGCTATTCGTTTCGATTCATCTTTTATCAATGCATTTCAAACTGAGTGGCACAGTTTTTGATTCTACTCCATGATACACCCAAACTATCAAACGAGATTCCACTGACGGTTTTCTTTGCTTGCTCAGTCAGTTGGAACATGTGAATTCCATTATACAAATAATTAGTTATGGACGTCCACTCTTTATAAGTGGTCATAGCCGTGTTTCCAGAAGAATATCATAATTGCATGCATTCTTCTAAACTTTTCAGAATCTGAATCGCTGCAGCTGAGAGTCAATGACCAACGTATTACTTCTTTGGTTAAAAGACCTGGCTCAGATGCTAAAAGATATATCTCTCGGTCAGCTGGAACCTGGATTGTCAATGAAACAATCAAAGATGATATCTGTCTGACAAAAACTAAAAATAATCCTGATGAAATAGAAATTCCCCCTCAAATTATTTGTGAAAAAGCTGCAGATGAAGGTCTAGGAGAAACTCTGGAGAAAAAGTCTATTGTCTTAAAGTTTTACGGTAAGTTGAAACAAAACTGAAATAATTCTTAACAGATTCATTTCTCAAGACTGTCACTGTTAGTTTAATGTGATACCTATATTGAAAATATTCGTTTTAAAATGTTCTTGTTGCTCACATTGCATATCCCAATATGACTGAACGTTTTTGATCTGTTAACTTAAATTCAGTTCGCTTGCTTCATATAATCCACTCACGCTTAGACATAAGTTTTGTAATTGATCGAACCGGTGCCTAATTATTTAAGGTCTTCAGTGGTATATTTCCTTTATCTGACATCCTTTAGATCCTGATTATAGTAAATTGTAATTACAATCAAGCATTGTGCAGTGAAAGGACAAAAAACTATCTGGTTAATACAATTACTTACAAACTTACTAAGTAACAACTGAGGCCGTAGATAATTTATGGGATTATTGGTTCGTTTTATTTAGATTTTAGAAGTCACCGGTCAGAACCTCTAGATAACACCCACTATTACTAACTCCACGGACATCAGTATAATTATCTATCATCAGCTGCTACTCAGTTGCAAGTGATTAGTTAAATCACAATAACGATCTGTGATATTACTGCATAGTACTTTGTTACTTATCTACTCAGACATAGTTACTGGTACGAAGAGGCACCTGAATATCTATACAGCATATAGATTAATAAATTTGTAACCATGCTAGAATGCTGTCTGGTTTTCCGAATTGAAGTAGGTTGTGTTCGTGAAAAGCGATTCCTCTAGTCCTTAACCTAGAAGTCTAACTCACATGAAAGTGGAGTAACAGCAGAAGATGCAGTCTTTTGTTAACCAGTTGCTTACAATAGGTTCATATTCTATTTGCTTCCTCATAACTCTGAATAACGTGCGCGTAATCGGGTTGGAGTCAGGGTTTTTCAACTCCATTAGATGGACCCTCTATACCCACCAAACTGGGTCAAACTCTGACTGGATATTCGATTTTCATCTTCAATTTCTTAAACAACACATGCAAAGAGAAGGCAATAAGTAAAACTCTGACAACAGATATACATGCATGGCTGTGTGAGAGCATTTCGAAAGAGTAAGAACCCTTCCCAGTCTTGACATTACCAGATCATTTAAAAGCATAAGCATTATGTTTGTCGATGCGTTCTCCAACTATTACAAAGTTAGTAACTCATTCTTGATAAATAACTCACATTTAATTCCGTACTGAGGAGTCGTGAGCTAATTTTAATTGATCTTTATTTTCTAATAAATTTCAGAACAAGCTAAAATTATCGAATTTCCAAAAAGTCTTAAAGTTAGAGAAGGATCTAGTCAAGTGATTGAATGTAGTGCTACTGGATTTCCTGATTTGTCGGTTGTTTGGCGTTTAAAGGTTAGTTGCTGTACAATATATTTTGATACAATATATCAAAATGTTCGCGTATTTCTCATGGACAATATTATAAATTTTACGATCGATTTTGACAATAATACTGACGACTATATGTCTAATCACAAGATTAAGATTTCCTCTAGCTGATTCTTTACACAATACAATTAATTTGATTTCATAAGTCTGATTTAAACCTATATATTTATTATTATTAGAAAGGATTTGAATTGTTACGTTATTGATAAATTTGATTCACCTTTGCTGTTATATGCTCGCCTTAGGCAAATTATCTCAATACATAGTCATTTTTATAAGTTCCTTAATAAAGTAGATAACTGTGTAACTAATAATAGTAGGATCCTACATTTACATTCCATCTTACTTAAGACTTGTATTGTGATGTTAATGTTCACAGAGGGGATCATAATAACGCCTTTCAATTCAAATGTTTATCTTTCTATACAATGAAGTACTGAATCTACATAGGCACTCTTTATTCGTATATTTTGGGAAAAGCGTATTAGGTAAGAATGGCAGATCAATAGATGAAGTATTGGAACTTCAGCAGTCCAGCTGGTTAGGTCATACAGTAAGAACGTCCAATCACCGGCTGCCTTGGTGGGCGATGTTTTGCAATTTAGGAGTAAACTGGAAGAGATCTAGGAGCGGTCACAGCAAAATATGGCAGAAATCCATAAAGTTACTGACAAGTGAACTGAGCCGTGTTAGTAGGTGGGGAATACCTGGTTGCAGTCCGCGAGATGATGGTAACCGACTGTTAGAGACATTAGATGACATGGCTTAAAATAGTTTGCAATAGCGCAAGTACATCCATTGTTTATCTTCTCTCGAATCTTAGTCTTCTGAATTCCTCATCACCTTTATTTTCTAAATTGATTCCTCTAGGATACATTCTTAGAACCATATCTTTTATCCCTAATCTTTTTATGGACAGCTAATACTTCTACTACCTCTACTCCTACGGAATTTTAGTTAACAATTCGATCTCTGTATGTTAATGTGGCGCGGCAACTTGAACTGATGTTCAAACGTACATAGTTCCACGTTGTAGCTAACTTTATTCAAGAAGTATCAGTTTTATATCATTATCAGAAAAAATTTGATTTATCCCTTCGTTAATAATTTAACTTTATTGTGATCAGCCTTTTATTGGCATTAGTGAATCCTGTGTAGATTGTCTCAATGTTTGTTTGGAATCAAAATACTATAAAATGCAAACATTTTTATACAATAGGAAAACTCTTTATAAGTTATTCATTGGGTTGCAGACTTGAACGCTGATATACTTCCTTACTTCAGTTAGGACAACTGGGTATAATTTTGAACATTATTTTGGGAAATATTGATAAGTACGTGACTGTTCTCACTGGGCTAATGAGTCGAATCGGGACTGATGTTTGAGCTTGCACCAAGGTGTTAAATACCTGTGCAGTTGAGGCCACAGGATTGAGCTATACTGTTGATGTTGTCGTGTTGACATCTGGATAGTGTCTGGTTCTCTTGAAAACCAACATAAAACTACCCTTGCCCTTTGAGGGTAAGTTTATATAGTTATCAAAATAATAAATGTTTGAGCGTAATTATATTTTAAAACTCCGGTGAAAAGACTGTTAGTGGAAAAAAGAAAAGAATCGTCACATTAGACAACTAACTTATGGCTGGATATTTGGAAATAAATGTAAGATCATAAAAAGTTAAAGGAATTAGTACTGTTTTACCACTTTAGATTGTCATAAATCATATTACTCAAATTCTCAAATCACTTATTTCCTTCTGCTTGAAGTCACTTCAAATCACTTTACCTGGCTCAATCTGTACTTATTCCATGTCTTAATTTAAAACATGTTCACATTTGCATGAAATGCATACTATCTGACTTGAACAACTCAGGCGACTTATTTCCTCTGAAAATGTATTATATTAGGTTCTTAAAAATCCCTTTCTCACTAAAGATGGTGTATTCGGTAATAGTTGCTTCTAGGTTTTTCTTTAACTGAAGTGAAGTTTATCAAATCCATTCTTAAACGTGATAACTCACAGAGAATTAAAAACGTAGATCAATCATCTTCCTTACACTTGTGCCTAAAAATACTTCCTATGGATGAGTATTTGTAAGTAATGATGATGATAGGAAGTTTATTAATTTGTCTAAGTACAAATACATGATTTTATTTTATTTTAAAACCGTGGGAGATTTTATTTCGCAGGAAAAAAACAAAAAAATCAATTTGAAAAATTTACATTCAACGAAAAACAATCTTGTTAAATATTTTTTTATTACTTTTGATGTCGTCTGCTGTTAAAAACAACTAGTACAAGATGATTTTATTTTTAGAAGACAGGTATTAAATATCATGTGTTTATTGTCGATAACTAAGATAATGAAAAAGAGAGGAAGGAGAAAAACTTGTTTTCATTGTACTTTATGTGTTTGCGCAAAGGAATCTTTTCTTAGATAACTAACATTCATCACCTTCCACTGGACTATTGCTTGAACATTTTAGACATAGAGTAATAAGTAACTTGGACAAATCGATAGACAAGTTAGTAAATCTTTATCGACCGAGATGGTCGTAGTATGCATTATGTATGCTCATTCACTAGCTACCTCAGTATACGATTATGGCTAATGTAAGAGTGAACTGAAAGGAAGCTAAGTTGCCTGAACTAAGACATGGTAACAATCTATGACGATAAAAACTAAGCTGTGTAGGCAGCTGCAAACTACCTGGTTGTGATCTGAATGAATAACTTATCCAAAGTTTAAAGACATTGAATGACTGGGCCCGAAGTTTTTTTACAATGACTCATGTTCATTCACCTATTATCTTCTCCATAAATCCAAAGTTTCTATATTCCTTATAAACTTTTTTTTAATATTTCAGTAATTTATATGTTTTCTAAGTGCATCTCTAATACCTAAACTTCTTTCATTCTCAGCATGTACCGTGAAAATTTCATCTATCTATGCCAATGAGGTATTGCAACTTGAACTTATGTACAAATGTTCCAGGCTGTGCATTCGGTTTTTACTGACTGATTAGAGTAATGTAATTTACAATGAGAACGTTATTCTCTATACCTAGAATATAATTATCTGTATACAACGGAGTGAGTATGTTGATCGAATTAATTGATATGGTTTTAAAAAACAAAATTGTAAAGCGAACTATTGTTTTCAATAACTTCATCATCAATCGTTAAAATAAGTCATGAATACATGAATTCGATAATGTTTTGGACATTTGCAGCGAAAATTATTTGATTCCACAATAGTTCCACGCAACAGTTCATATTAGACACAAACCACTCTCTATTGGTTTACATGATTATTTAATCAGACGAAACGAGAAAGTTATGAGAGTTTATTCTCAAGCGCTGTTGATGCAATTCGTTACACGCAAACATTGTCTATTTTTACTGCAATATTTAGTAGCTTTTTACTGATTCTCTCTACTATCTCTTACCCAGTTCTGTTTTACTTACTAATTCCCTCTCATAAACAAATGTAAGATAAGATAACTAAATATTAATTTAGGTTTGTCTACTCGCAGTTTTATGTGTACTACAGTAAATAAAAAATAAAAAAACATTGTTAAAAACAGCGAGACAGAGATGTAATAAATAAAATAACTCGACTTTTTCTTTCTCTATCGGTAAAATCATAAAAGTTCACATTGTTTAACAACATTGCTGTTTTGTATACATGTGCATGTATATATGTATGTATGTATGTTTGTTTGTGTGTTTGTGTGTGTGTACGTAAGAATAGATTTCACAATTTGGCTATTTGTTATCAATTACATCTTTTGTCTATATTATCTCTACATGTTTACGGTGTTTATCAACTCAAGAAAGCAGTGAAAATTTTAGTAAAAAAATTGTCTGCTTAATAATTATTTATTACAACAATTTACAGTAATTTACACTACTGGTGGAAGGGTTAGGAATAAGCCGAGTACATTTTTTTCTTCTTATCTGCCTAGACATAATATTAAATACAATGAATGTGAAATTATTTTTAGGAGCAATATATTGAAAGATTTAGAATTTGGGAGAAATACAAGGTGAATTGATAAATTTTGTGAAAAAAATTTTTCATTTCAATGACGATTATAGTTTAAGCAATAAAATAAAAAAAATTTTAAATTTGATGTTCTTCAAAATAGAATAAGTTGAGAAATTTCGCTAAGAAAGGGTCAATAATTTTGGAGATTTTGTAATTTTGAAGATTTGTAGTTTAGATGAATGAATTTTCGGTGGTTACATTTTCTGTGCTCGATAGTTAAATGGTGGACTTTATCTGTAATTATTATTATTATTTTCATTATTTAAACAACTGATTATTGGTACAAACGGTCAACTTAATGTTTATGCGCCATACAGATCAATGAATTTATGAGTGGGCTAAGCTACTGTTCGGCTGCCTATACGGACGCAAGTGGTTCTCTAGAGAATATAAGATTCTCTGAGCTTGTGACTAAGAGGCCTAATCCACTGTGTGGTAGCGCAACATTAGGAGATACAGTCATATGGTGACTTGTGACAACTAATAAGTTCATATGCCATTTGTTTCGTCAGAATCCTGGAATCATTGTGCGTAATTAGTGTGAAATCAGGGTTTTCCAACCCCTTTAGCTATATCCTCTGTACCAATCAATCCGGTTTAAACCATGGCTGGACATTCACTTTTTATCCTCTTTTTTTTAGATAATAGCTCTATGGTGAGAAGGTAGTGAGTAGGATTTTGCGTAGGTGACTGCATACTCGTGGCCATATGAGAGCAGTTCGAGAGGAAGAGTAGGTTATCCCCACTCTCGACTGCACCGGGGTACTCGGTTACGATATCAGTTATTCACGGTAAATAAACAACAAATCAAATAAACCTTCTTATGACCTGAATCACAAGTGGTGAGTTTAACTAACAAATTACAATACACAGATCCAGCCATACAATGATATCAAAAACTTATGTAATA